AATTAAGAAGACAAAATAGTACTGATGAAGAGACGGAAAAGAAATCAGGTAGAATTTATTTGTCGGGTAATAAGGTAGATTAAGTGCATTGTAAGTGTAGTGATTGAACGAACTTCTTCTGTATGCAGAGTTCAGGATTTAGCAAGCAAATGGCCATTATTTCTGCAGTTTGAAGAAGTCTGATTCGTAAGCCTTTAGGAAGACTACTTCTTATTCTGTAGACTACTTTGAAGTTTGTTTGGAGTGCAGTTTGGTGTCCGGATTCTATCAGATGTTCTAAGATGGAGCTGCGGGGACCTCGTTTTTCTCCTTTGTAAAACCATGTTGGTAAGTGTTCGGTGATATGCTTGGAAAGCGAACGCTGGGTACGGCCGACATACCTGGCTCCACACGAGTAGGTGAATTGATAAATACACATTGATGAGGCCAACAGAGGCAGCTTATCCTTCACGTTCACATGAATCATAGGTTTTGTGGAGAAGGTTAGTCGTAGTTCAGCTGCGAAGAAGGTCTTCTTGAGTGAGTACGACAGTCAATTTTTCTGTGTTTCCGCAGATATATTTCCATTGAATTGAAGGTTCATGTAGAGTGGTTTCTTCGTGACGCTAAGCATGGGCGGCTTTTGTGATCTAGGATTCATAGATTTTGCAATAAATTGTTCTGGGTAACAATTATCGACGAGAATTCTCTTGAGATTGTTCAGTTCATCTTCTACGGTGTCCCGGGTACAAATTCTGCGAACTCTGTAGCTGAGTGATGAACGGATCAGGTTTCGTTTAGTGTATAGGGGTACCCAACTGTGGAAGTTAATAAGCTGTCCGTTCCATGTTGACCTTCTGTAGATAGATCTTTTCAGTGTTCCACCCTGTTCTTGTCTTGTTAGTTGGAGGTCATGTCAAAACTAGAAAACACATACCTAAAGAAAACGATTGACGGCTTCGAGTTCTAGAAGAATATGTGGACGATACTTTCATTATCGCAGATAAAAAGGGGAATTTAGAGGACATCCTGGAGTTCCTAAAAAACCTGCTAGCCTACAATTTACTTCACATAAGGGAGAAGGAATCCGACACATAAATATCTTTTCTGGATGTTCCATCGGCAGGACGTGAATAAGATGGAACACTAAAAAGATTCATCTAAAGAAAGCCGGCATGGGACGGACAATTCACTAGCCCGCATAGTTAGGTGTCCCTACATACAGAGCGAAGCCTGGTCCCATCACTAAGCCATAGAATCCACAGAATTTTTAGCACCGACTTTATAGAAGGGGAGCTGGACACTCTGAAAAGAATCCCCCTCTAAGACAGCTACCCATAAAAGTTTGTCACGAAATCCATGAAACCTAAACCACTTAAACTGACTACACTTTCTGCTCCCAAAGACTTCTCCACCTGAATCTGCAATTTAATGGAGCCTCATCAGCCGAAAAAAATGAGAAACCACCTATACCGCTCAATGAAAGAAATTTTCTCCAAGGCTGACCTTAGAATAACTTCCTCTATGAAAATAACGATTCGCATGAATGTGAAGAATAAGCTACCACTGTTGGTCAGCCTCATCAGTGTGGATCTACCATTTAACCTGCCCGTTTGGAGCTAGCTAAATATGTAGGCCACACGCATTGTTTGTTGCCCAAATGTATCATTAAACTCCTATGCACGGTCATGGTTTTATAAAGGAGAAGAATGATCCTCATCCCAGCGATAGCACCTCTATCGTAGAACACCTAATCGAATAATCTGGACAACAAGTTAACTCACAAACAAACTTCGAAGTTATCCACAGAATATGTGGTAATCTCTCTCTCTATCTCTCTGAGAAAGAACTAATCAAACGTCTACGAATTGCAGAGTAATGGCGATTGACATGTTACATCCTGAACTCTGCATACACAAGAGGAAATTTGTTCAGTCGTTAAACATCCAATCGACCTGATCTGTTTAACACCAAATGCGTAATGTTTGATTTTGTTCCTTAATTGTATTATTTTCTTCTCCCATCCACTATTATATCTCTACGTCTTATTATCGCTGATTTCAACTTGGTTGTTTTCCAATTTCTGTTGAATTCTACTCAACCGTGTCATTTATATTACGTCACTCGTTTCTAACTGATTAATGCTTTCTACGTTACGTAATTTGTTATGTAAAATTTATTATTCGAATGACTCGTCTTTTGAAATACTTCTTCGGTTGCCTGGGCAACTTTCATGAGAATGTGGAAATTTGGTCGAATCTGTGAGAGGGATTCGGATATTTGATGACTGAAGGTAATAATTTGCAGGGCTTTGAACTAGGTCTCATACTTTTTCGGTACTTATCAGCAAGGTGTATCTGAGGCAGTCTAGGACCGAAATGTTCTTCTTCCGTCGAAGATTCAAACTTGCTTTACTCAGTGCTACAGTCAAGGATTTTATCGCTATGCAGCTTTTGGATGTTTCTATCCACACATCAACATGCAGAATAGCTGTATCTATTGATCAACTCATAGATAAATTATTGTTGAGAAAACTGTAGATTAGCCGTTTTTAGTCGACTAAAGAATACACTCACACATGCGTTTCATGTATGATCATTTAACAATTATCGCCGTACTTCAATGGTTCAATGGGGGAATCTTTGCTAAACGTGCATGTTTTCCGGCTTTAACTCTTGATCAAAGAACGCCTAAACTTCGGCAACCTTACCAGGCGATTGTGAACTTGGAAATCAAGGAATGTTGATTGTGAGTTTAGCGACAGCCCTCCGTAAACTCAGCATTGATGCCGGTGCTGTAACCTGAAGGCTTGAGGACTTATATTCCAGAATTCTGTGATGTCACTTTGACCGATAGTAACTAACTTCAGAGTCACAGGTGTGCGTTTCATGATATCTGGGACTCGCCAGTGAGATATTACTCTACCCCAATGAATCATGATGTTCCCATTGAGAAATGAATCCAACACTCGTCATTTCAAACGCCAGTGCGTTATGCATTAGATCAGTTGACTACGAGAGTGATATATCCTGCGCAGTGGGGACCTACTGGTATTTTTTTGAAATACATTTCCTGAATTTTCCTTTGATCGACTATATTGGCTTGAAATAGTGGGTATCTTGAAATAATAGAAAAGATTTGTAACTCAGGTGGATGATTTGCAATTGATAGTGTTCTCTGAGCTCCTTGGTTTAATTGCGGAGCTTTCATCGTCTTTCTGGACGACATCTTCAGCGTAGTATTTAGGATAAAGTGAAATGATTTAAATTTCTTCATGAGTCTCCCGGTAACCATCTTTAGATATTTATTGACCGTTTTCTATTGATTGGGATTTTAAACTTTCTGATCACCTGATTTACTTCTTATTAGTTGGTATATTTCATCTATATTAACGTGTTTATTAATTGCGTTTTCATTTGAGTACCAGGCTTCTAGGAATTCTCTGGCACATTTGGTGTTTCCTCTGTTTAAGATTTTGACATTATCCCAATCAAATTGATGTCCATGATCGTCTGAATGTATTGATACTGAAGAATTTATATCATGTCTTTTCACGGCTGATTTGTGTTCCTGGATTCTTATTCGAAGGGGACACCCACTTTGGTCGATGTAATGTTTGTTACAGTTACAGAATTCAAAAACGTCTGTAACACTATGATTTACCACATTCTTGTGTAATGGTTGGAGGAGATCACCTAACAACTTATATATGTCTAGGACTGGGTGAAGAAGAAGTCCTGGTTTATGTACTTTGGGGAGACTGTACAGACGTGAAGTATTACTTCCAGTAGGTTTGACACGGTTGTAAGGTGTCTCTGAGATTACTCCACTTTTTCTCAGCTCCTTAAGCGTGTTTATTAGCTGCTTTTCAGCCTTTTCGTCTAGATCTGTTTGATTGTTGAGCTTTTAAGAATTTCGTTTTATCCGTTAGAAACGAATTCCTTTTGTCAGTATAATCACACTTATTCATTAGTACTACTCCGGCTCCTTTATCAGGTCTACTGATTATAATGTTTTAGTGGTTCCTAACTTTCTCGATGCTTTTTAGTCAGCAAGCTTTTACTAGGATGACTACTGTTTTTATACTGCTGACAACTGTTGCCTAGTGTAGTTTTAAACCTGGCGACTTCATCGTCTGACGATGGGATTAAGTCTTTTTTCTGTAGGAGGAGGTCTTCAAAGTGATGAACAAATGCAAGTATAAATTAGCTGAAAATTTCCCATTTTATTATGCTTATACTGCTCATGATATCTATTATGATAATAAAACGTCTGCCATTAGTTAATTCAGTCTACTTTTCAAGTGTTGGTCTATAAGGAATTAACTGATTTTAACTTGGTGATGATCTTGGTCAAGAGACATTACTTAGAGAAGTATCAAAAACTAAGAACCATCGGATAGGTGGAATTATGTGCTTATGACCTGATGTTATGAGTTAAACCAATCACTATTGTGTCATTTCGTCAGAGCCCAATGGCTTTCTAAATTCTAACTTCTTTTATCAGTTCGAAATATATGAAGACGATTTAGATAGTTGGAGGCAATCGGCCAGAGGAAGCCTTGCCTGACCAAGGTTTCATGCTAGTTGGACCTTGCCAGTCCGAAAGGCGTATCTGCAACCTTGATGGAATTCATGTCCCTTCTAAGATTTGAACTCGCGTCACCCAGTGAGGCTGCAGTCAGAGATGTTACCAGTGAGCTATTCAGGCTCGCAGTTGAACTCTTGTAGGACTGCAGTGGATACTTTGATTGGACACTAGTAACTAGTGTGATGTATCTAGCTCAGTCGTAACGTCTCCGACTGCAGCTCTCACTGGGTGACGCGAGCTCGAATCTCAAAAGGGTCATGAGTTCCTTCAAGGCAGCTGCAGATACGCCTTGGTGATTGGTGAGTGCCAGCTAGCACGAAACCTAGGTTAGGCAAGGCTTCCTCTAGCCGATTGCCTCCAACCATCTAATATCATCAAATCAATGTACACCGTGATGGCGAGCTACCTAGAATGGTGGCCAAATTGCAAACCTGACTGATAGGACTCAAACTGCACCAAAGCGACAACTAGACGCATAACACTAGCTACTAGTATCTAAGCAAAATATAACGGTGCTTCCACTGAATATCATCGGGGAGGTTCCCTCCTCACACAGAAAGGCGCTTCGCTCACATTATTCTATTTGTTGTATTAGGTTATAGAAAATTATGTGCAAAATTGTATCGCCAATTATTATTATTATTATCATCATTAGTACAATTACTTTCAAATGACGATTTGTACAGGAATAGAAAGTAATCATAAATAATGAGAAATGATTCGAGAAGATGAAAAAATTCAAAGATGAGGAAAGTGAGGATATTTTTAAACACAAATTGTGGAAGTTTGATTTAGATACGATGGTATACTTAGATCTGACATTCAATGTTTTGTTATGATGATATCCTTATGCATATGCGTGTGAATCAGGTGTTATTTAATCACTGAAAACCAAAACAAAAAAAAGCTCTGAAAAAGTAACTGTAGCTTTACAAACATCCTTGGCCAAAAGAAAGAAAGAAAGAAAGCAAGAAAGAAAAAAATCAATTTATCACAATAAGGCTTAAATAATGATAATAAGTAGTATGTGTAGATAGTTGGAAATTATGAAACCTTGCATCGACTATGTTTACTATTTTCTTTACCTAATCCATTAATACGTTTTTGTAATAGCGATGCAATTCTTTTTCGTCCAATAGTTGTCAATGCTAGATATAATTCATTCAACGGGGATTGATTATCCCCGACTCCGTGTAACCAAATATTCAATAGACGGTAGGTATGCTCCTTATAGGAATTTTTACCTGAGTAATGTTGGGAAGAAAGGAAACAAAAAAGGGATGAAGATTAATATTAATAATAACTGATGAATATATATATTTCGAGAGTTTTTTCAGACCGAGAATTACATCAGTGGCTCAATGGTATAAGGCTGTTCATTGCCTGGTTATGCAGTAGACAATAGTTCGATTATTAGATGGTTGGAGGCAATCGGCCAGAGGAAGCCTTGTCTGACCTAGGTTTCGTGCTAGCTGGCACTCACCAATCACCAAGGCGTATCTGCAGCTGCCTTGAAGGAACTCATGTCCCTTTTGAGATTCGAACCCGCGTCATCTAGTGCTGCGCTGCTGTCAGAGACGTTACTACTGAGCTATTCGGGCTCGCGATTGAACTCCTGTAGGACTGCAGTGGGTATTTTGATTGGACACTAGTAACTAGTGTGACGTTTCTGGTCCTTTCTTTGGTGCAGACTGAATTTTATCAGTCAGGTTTGCAACCATCTAATATCATCAAATCAATGTACACCGTGATTTCCAGCTACCTGGAATGGTGGCCAAATTGCAAACCTGACTGGTAGAATTCAGTCTACACCAAAGAAAGGACCAGAAACGTCACACTAGTTACAAGTATCCTGTTATGTTGCTGCTGCTGAGTGGTTAATAGTAGTTTTCCCCGTCGCCAAATTATCGTTATGTACTGGTCGAAAATTAAATAGTCCTGACGCAAGAAGGCGGAAATCAGCAGATCACTAGGTTTGCGATGATACTTCTATTTTCCAAACACCAGGAGAAGCAATAAGTGGTATCACACCAAAAGTGTCACACAAGATTGTGGGAGCGAAATATGTATGAATGTCCAGACAAGTGTGTGAACAAATCAATAGACAGTCTTAACATGGATGGCTAATTATAATGGAGTGTCGATCCATATATACATAGCAAAATATAGCAGACATGTCAACAAACACACATATAATATGGATATATGTCACCAAGGACAGACTGTCAACAAACACTCATATTATATATAATATAAGGGGAATATACATTGCTAAAGGAGACAGGTTCATCAAAGTGAAATTGTCACAGACTAGGAGAGCAATAGAAAGAGAGACCACCATACACATATTTATATATATATATATATGTATATGGATACATATCATGTCCAATCAAAATAGTTCGATTCCCAGATATTGCCTGAATAACTAACCGGTAGGATTCGATATTATAAAGGAATGTTGGAGGTGAGGGTTCATGAATCTACCCGTAAAAATAACGCAACCACCACCACGACTATTGAAGCGTTAGGTTCCACAAAAATGGCGAAATGATGAAACTAACAACAAGATTCGCAATACAATGTGTGAACAAGGCTTCTCCTCAGCTTGGAATGGTCTGGAAGTTAAGCAGAATTCATAAAATGAGCGTACAATTATTTCCCTTATTGAAATGAAACTAAGTAAGCAAATGGTAGTCAAATATGTGCAAAGTACTAAACGAGAATAATAACCATAGTAATAATAATAATAATAACGGTGGGTTTGTTTCAAACAATACTGTCTATATATTACGAGAAACTTAGCATGATGTAAAGTATTGAATCTAATGTCCTTTTAAGTATAACATGGTGAAGGGAAAAACAAGGAAAATAACAATTATCACAGAGGTCAAGTGATGTTTACACTTAAGAAAAAATAAACAAAACAAAATAAATGAGAGGATTATGAATATAAGGGGAATAATAGCAATACAGCTTGGTAGTATAAGCATGGAGAAAATTGTTTATTTACTAGTGGAAAGAAGGTCAGTTAGCTAGTTAGTTGGTTAGTTAAATATTTGGTGCCTGACACTATTTTCATCACATAGAATACGTGCCAAATATAGTGTCGCAGAATGTTCATACTTAGATATGCACACATAAAGTCTTTTGAAATGACTTCTTGCTCTACCTGAGGAGATGCCAGGCAAGATCTAAGAGTTCTGCGGTGAATGATCACAGTCTGACGAAATCCCTTTAGAAAATTCAGTGCATCAAAATCAGTTGCCTATCAATAATGATGATGTCAACGATATGGCACAATGAGATACCACTCACCCTTCTGATTGACAGTCTTTAGAGTACTATGGAGTATAACACAGTCCTTTTTAAGCAATCCAGGAACACTGAATACTGGGTTCATATTTCAGTGAGAACAGTACAGATGCAAGTACACCCTTGTAGCAAGTCTTCAAAATAGTAAGAAAAGTGTGTCCTGCATTCATCTTCTGGCTAAACTATTGTTGAAAAATTCATACCATAGAAATCGATGTGCCGGTAGTATTCGAGCATTTCGGTACAATGAAAGCCACTCAAAGGGAAATTTTAAAAGAAGTAAACAAATACCAAGTTAACTTCGCTCTCTCCTTCAGCTTCATAGACTTTGAAAAGGCCTTCGATAGCGTCGATCTAGAGATGGTTTGGAAACTATTTCGCTACTATGGGGAGTCACCAACAGTTATACACCTCATCCAACAGTTGCACGACAATGCTGCATGTCAAGTAATTCACAGTGGAACACTTACGGAATCCCTGGAAGTGAAGACCGGAGTAAGACTAGCCACCTGCCTACTATCTTTAATGATTTTTCTGACTGAGGGAGGTAGGCTAGATAGTGTGACAGACATCGGCGGGCAGTGAAAAGACAGGCATAAAATGGACCCACACCAAGACACTTGGAGGATCTGGACTTCACCGATGATGTATATCTGATTTCCCACAAATACTGCAGGATATGCAAGTGAAAACAACAAGTTGGTAGAAGAAGCATTCAGAGGAGATAGGACTTCAGGTGAACAAAGAAAGGCGGCCAACAGCAACACCGGCAAAACAGATAAGAAACAGCATAAATGGGGGGAATCTGAAAGAAGCAGCCTCCTTTACATACCGACCTACCTACCTGGAAAGCATCGTTTCAACTACAGGCGGATGAAACTGAAGAGGATATTAAAGCGAGGATGAGGAAAGCAAGCCAAGCTTTCATTTCTCTGATGTCTGTGTGAAGGTCAACAGCACTACTCAACGTGAAAAATAAGATCCTGATTTTCAACTCCAATGTGAAGTCAGTGCTACTTACTATATGGATCAGAGACTTGGCGAGTCATCAACAGCATCTCAAACAAACTACAGACCTTCATCAACAGCTGTCTTCGCTCAATACTCATGATCAGATGACTGGCCAGAAAAGACCAGTAACAGGGATCTCTGGCAATCAGCAAATCAGTCAACTCTGAAGCAAATATACAGGAAGAAATGGAGGTGTATTGGTGGCCATACTCTGAGAAAACAAACCATCAAGTGACATCACACATAAGGCCGTGGCTCGAATGAAACCCGCCGAATGGGAAGTGGCGAGTCGGTTGTCAGCACGCGGGTAACGTAGAAGAGGTCATGTGAAGAGGAGATGAAAGCATGTGGGCAGATGTGGAGCCAGGTGAGAACGTCGACAGAGAATTAAACGAAGTGGAGACGTGAGGCTTAAGCCCTATGTTCCTCTAGGAATCAAAGAAAACAATAATAATGATAGATAAGTTAGCTTCGAGTAAATAACTTTATTGATGATTATGTATCATGTGACCGATTATCACGCATTACAAATCTAATCCATATCATCACATCACCATAACAAAAAACAACACCATACTGATCAATGATTCAATTGACCTACCTATATCTTGGCATGCAATAGCCGTGACATCTTCTGATGTAAATCCCCAGAACTGGGCTAAATTTCTCCAATCCATTGGTTTAGCATATTGATGAGAATATTCGAAGAATAAAATATTCATGTCTTCTGCATATGTCTACAACAATAAAGTATGAATTTAATTTGTTTAAATAATATTTTTCATTCATAATAAATCATATATGCTCATGGCAGCGATGCAGGCGATGTTTGGGTTGGATTCCCTCTCACCCGATGCACTCCTTGACCCTATCTAGCCAAGTGTGAAGTTAGAAAAGGATGAAGGTTGGGGATGAGGCGAGCAACCCTACCTGGTAGAACAGCATCACAGCTACTTTTACCCGGATGCTCAAAGCTTTAAATTCCACGTTTCACTAGGAATGCAAGGAGGAAATATAGATGCTAAAGGTCACACAACCAAGGTAACCATGATTGGATTTTTTCGCCTTGAATTTGTCTTACAAGAGACTAACCCTAGTTTTGTGGACGAAACATTCGAGTTGATAAATTTGACAAGAATTGTTGACTTTTTTCTAGATTTAATCCTTAACTATGTAGACAAAATCTCTAGTAGTCGCAGATTTAGACAGATTTTGCAGTCAAAGCCTAACTCAGAGACTTGACCACCAAAGTTGACCTGTTTGTATCAAATGAAAAATCTTGGGAGAATGGAAAATTTAATCATGAGCTGACATCAGTTAGAGAACCACTGGAAAACCTGGGAGTACTGGACAGCTGTTTCGTCCTAGTTTGGGACTCCTCAGCAGTACGCACCCACCGGGTCCAGTACTCCCAGGTTTTCCAGTGGTTCTCTAACTGATATCAGCTCATGATTAAATCCTCCACACAATCAAACCAAATCCCTACAAAACCAACACTTGAAAATTAATCTGATGCTCACTAGCGACTGGCCCTATTCAGGCAGTTAACCTGGGGTTCTAGTGGGAAGCCGTGACCAGTAGGTTATAGCAGGTCAAAGATGAGGCAGTAGCTCATCGAAGAAGACATTGCGAAGTGGTCGCGCTATGTCGTGAATTGGCAGAAGTTAAGATTCAAGGACCATTGGATCGGGTCCCAGTGGCTTAATGGTGTACAAGCTCGCCTTGTAACCAGAAGGTCCTGGGTTCGAATCCCGGTGGGTGCATACTGATGGAGAGTCCCAAACTAGGACGAAACAGCTGTCCAGTACTCCCAGGTTTTCCAGTGGTTCTCTAACTGATGTCAGCTCATGATTAAATCCTCCATACAATCAAACCAAGTCCCTACAAAACCAACACTTGAGAATGGAAAATGTTTATGAATATGTCCATGGATATTACCTACCAAGTGGTGTGTGAAATGTTGATGATACAACCCTAGAAATTTTCTCCCGGTCGACTTTTTCCAAAACCTGGCATCAAATTACAATATACTTTACTTGTAATTTGATTACTCCATATACTGAAATCAAATTGACACTGAGGGTTTATAAGGTCATATCTGGGACACTATGCATACCCCAACTTCATCGATTTCTTAAAATACCCTTGTCTGAGAAGAAATTCTGAAACTACCTTAACACTATGGACTGCAGTGTCCCAAATCTTTATCAACTTAGATCAACAGCTGGCGACATGACAACGCCACGTGTCAGCTTATCCACAGCGGAAAACTCAGCGAAGCGTTCGAGGTGAATACAGGAGTAAGAAAAGGATGTCTATTATCATTATTAATATTCTTAGTTGTGGTGGAATGGATTATGCATCAGATTGTGGGGGGCGAGGAATCAGGAATTCGCTGGACCACCGACAAGAAGACTCTAGAAGGTTCTGATTTCGCGTGTGCATGATTTATGTTTAGTGTCATACAAACTCAAAGACTTACAGGCAAAAATCAACAAACTAGCTGAACAGGCTGACAGCGAATACAGGACTCCAAGAGAACTTTGAGAAGGTGGAGTTGATGAAGATGACTAAATTAACCAACCTACCAACAGCAACACCAACAAAAACAACAACCAGCACCAATCGTTATCATAGGGAGAGATTTAACAGAGGCTACCCCCTTCACTTATCTAACCAGGAAGCATTGTTTCAATCACAGCTCGAGGAACGGATAAAGATGTCAAAGCCAGCTAGCCAGCCAGTCAGCCAGTGAGAATCGGAAAGGCAAAATATGCCCTCCTCCACCTGAAACCAATTTGGAAATCTTCTGAACTAACTCAGCTTAAGGAACAAGATTCGGATTTCTAACACCATTGTGAAGTCAATCCTTCTGTAGGGGTCAGAAACTTGGCCATTGTATCACGGAATGGATTTCCAACAGGCCATTGCGCAGACTCTTATCAACAGATGCCCACTTCCCTGGCCATATACTGAAGATCGAATGGCCAGAAAGAATAAGTAACAAGAAACTCTGGCTGGGAACAAATGTACAAACAAGAGCGAATCACTCAACAAATGTGTAGGAGAAAGTGGAGGTGAGTTGGACATACATTGAGGAGGCTATCGAATGACATTGCGCACAGTGCAGGTAACCAGTCTGCTGGAATTCCAATAGGAAGCGGTAAGTGGGTCGTCGGCGGGAGGGTGACATGGAGGATACCATGTGAGGAAGAGATGGAGAGTTTGGGCAATCGTGGACCTAGCTGAAGAGGACGGTAGGAAATAGAGCAAAGTGGAGATGTGTTGTTGAATCTCTGTGTTCTGATCGGAACCCAAGTGAACAGTAATAATGGTAAGGCATAGCCACAGATCAGTTTTTGTCTACAGCCTTTCTTTTGTTTACACTGAAGTTTATAATTCAATAGGTGACTGCACCAGCTTCATAATCCACCACTCATTTATCTGCACAGCTCTTACGCACAATCATAATCTCATTGTGTGACGACTATCCAATTCATTTTTACAGACTAGGAAGAGATGAGGAACTTTTTGTGCAAAAATCAATAAAAACGGAGTTCCAGGGTTTCATAAAATTATTCATAGTCTCTCTGAAACTTTTAATACTGAAGTCAGCACTTAAACGTAGGCATAGTCAAATGTTGAAACAATATAGGAAGAGCACCTCTCAGTAAGTAGAGAATTTATATCAGGTGGTGAAACAGCAGGGGTGTTATAAATCATAAATCATTCCTGTAATTTCATTGCAAAAATAAGATGAATAGTGGAATAGATGTACCAAACATCAGTAGGTAAAACCTCCAAAACTCATATAATACTCACACAGATTATACGCACAGATCTTAGCAATACTGAATTTTAATGACGATGATATTTAAATCTGCAGGCCCATTAATGGATCTATGCAATGAATATTTTTCAAAAACTGTATTTTTTTCAAAGGGAAATTCATTAAACTAATCAGACACTCATAATTGTATTGTAGAAAATGTTTTAATTAAAGTGAAATTATATGCTTGAAGTAAATATGCAGGTGGAAATTAAGAAACACAATTTCCTGTTATGTCATGGATAGGGTAATGATCCGATCTGAACAGACAAAATGGACAAATAATAAATCCTCTTTTGGGGTTCTTCAACAGTGAGCATCAAGTACTACACCAAGGATAGAATCCAGGATTTCTAGTTTAAGAGATGTGTTCATTAGCACTTCAGTCATTCGGAGGGATATCAACAGTCCATGAATTATAAATTCTTTCATTTCACGTTATATAATGCTACAGCTAACCAATATCGTCTGCAAGTATTTGTCATCGCACACTGAATTTGGTGTACACTAGCTATCTGATAGGAATGTTCGATCTCTAATGATGACAGGAGTGCACACTGATGAAGAGTCCAAAATTAGGACGAAACATCTTCCCAGTACTCTGATTTCCAGTGTTTTTCTAACTGAAGTCAGTTCATCGTCACAACTGAAATTATTGAAGTCCCTGAAAACCGACACCTGAAAAAGCTATAGGGTTACATTTGGGTTGACTATGTCACTTTCACATCAGTGAAGTAATATTAGTTTGCATTCCTTAATGTCTACTTGTCCATTCCTTTCAGGATAATAAACTCTTGTTATATAAGGCACTTCCTACAATATAATCACCAATTATTAAATTCCCTATTGAATAGAAATACGAATTTTAGGTGTTGGTTTGCAGAGATCTGATCGGTTTCAGGATTTCATCATGATCTGACACCGGTTAGGGAACCACTGCAAAAACCATCCGGGAATACTGGACAGCCAGCTGTTTCGTCCCAGTCTGTTAGCACTCCTGTAACCAATCAAATCCTTGAAAATCATCACTTTAATACCAGTCTGATGCTCACTAGTGACTGGCTCTGTTTAGGTAGGTAGTTACCTGGGTTTTAATGTCAAGTTTTGTCTAGTGAGGTAAGGTAGGTTACGTGTGAAGACAAGTACTCTCCAGAGATTATATTGGCTACTACAGGTCACGTTATATCGTGAATTGGCAGAAGTTGGAATTCATGGACTTTCTATTGGATTGGGTCTGAGTGGATTAAGGGTCTACGAGCTCGCTCAGTGTGTAACTGGACGGTCTAAATCTAACATTAAATCGAACATTCAAATCACAGTGATGAGTTAACTATCTTCAACCAAAGGAGGCAGAGCAAACTGGTATTACTGGTGTCAAGGCAACATACTATATATTCTGGCTAAAGTGCAATCATTTATTTGCACAAAAAACCCGTTGAAAGTATATGACCATAATCAGATATAGTCCATTCACTTTTAAACCTTTGAATGTGAATAAATATGCTTGATGATCCAAGTGAAGACGGACTACAAAAGTGCCTATACATAGACTATCCATAATCATCTTTTTGTAGTTTACAACAGTTTCACTAACTGCCATCCGACTGTTGTTATCCCTTTTCACAACTCTCTTCCTGTTTCATAGTCCTAACCTTCCACAACGATCTCCGAAATTACATAAAGTAAAAATAGAATTTCGATTAATAGCGATACTGTTCGACTAACCTTTTCATTCTTATTCCAGTGTACGTCACTATTAAAATGGTGCAACAATGTACCTGATCCTCTTTTGGTCTTACAGGTAATCAGAATCCTACCGGAGGAGAACTATGTAATGACAACTTGGCAACAACGCAACCAAGAAACCGTTGTGCAGAAGTCAATGGAGTGGAATATTCAAATGACACTACACTCTAAGTCCTCGAGTGGCACTCAAGAGGAGAAGAGACAATTTTGATGTAGATCAAAGTCTAACATGCGGGGAGTAATGTGAAATGAATGTCTGAGGGCCAGTTCATGGACGCAGTGAGGTGAAATTGATAAGAGAGTACTAAGTTCCTCTCAGAATGTTAGAAATCAATAACAGTGTTAATAATAATAATAACAACCGACGTAAAGACTTACTTGACACGGTGCTCTAAGAGTAAACGGATTTGATACATTCAAACCATATCCACTGATCAACCGCATATTCCTATTCGACTGATACATTTTTCCACTGTTAATGCGAAACATTTTCTCACCGTTAGGCAGTTGAATCTCTTCACCTTTAATATGATGTGATAAATCTGTGAGACTGGAGAATTTTTGATTTCTGCTTAAACTGTACTTATTTCTTCTACTGCTATTATTATGATTACCGTTATTAGTACCGGCACTTGAATGTAAATTGATTTCTGAACAACTAAAATTAGTATTACGTTTATTATTCAAGCGTACTGTAGAAGAATTTATATCGTTTGCTGAAGAGAATTCCTGTAATTGATGAGAGTGTTGCTGTTGTTGTTGTTGGTGGTGGTGTTGGTTTTGTCGTTGGCTCCAGTCACGACTAGCTTCATAGCCTAGAGATAGTTCACTGCCTGACTCAGAACTTGCTGTTGACCTTGAACGATGATCATTAATGAATCGATCATTTTTATTATTCGTATTATTATGATTATTATCATAGGCATAACCATATCTACCAATGTTATTATTATTATTTTTATTATTATCGCTGTTAACATATGATGCATTTAACTGTTTAAATGGATCAATAAACTCGGACATCTTTAAGTCATCATTATGAACTGAACTACTTGGTGAGTATAAAATATTTGATGGATAGAATTGTGGAGAGCTTTGTTGTTTAGCGGATTCATTGCGCAATGATGCCAAAGATTTTTGAGCGACAAATGTTCCACTATCGTCATCATCTTCATCATTATCATCATTATTAGAGTCATCATTATCGCTCAACTTGTCTTTATCGTTATTCGATATCTATAGGTGTAGAATATTTAGAAATAAACAAAGTTATCTTATTTGATATGTGAGTGTTAAGAAGGGGTAAAATAATTAAGTGTGAATGAATCTGTGCGTTCAACTGTTAACTGCCTGTTCAAAGATTGGAACATTATTGCGGCTACTTAGGTTCTAGCATTTATGCCTTTCTGCTTGATTTCTTGATCACAACTCATAGTATCAAGCTAATCACATATTGGGCAATCCTGATCCAAGCTGAAGAGGATGGCAGAAGATAGGAAAAAAGTGTTGTGTTGTTGTTGAAGCCCTATATTCGTCTCGGGACTCAAGGGAATAATAATAACAATTATCTACCTTACTATATTCTGTATCCGATCTTCGTGTTTATTACACTTTAGTTAAAAAATGAATGATATCCTCAAAGATCAGTTCAGATTTCTGGAGGACAATGTTGCTGATAATGTGCTGCTTGTGGAAAAGCAGATCAATCGTCATTTTCAGATTTTACTGATGCATGGTTTTATAAATGAAAAACTTTATAAACAACTTAAAGCAATTAGGTCACATAATCCTCGGCTTTACGACCTTCCGAAAATCAACAAGGCTGGGAACCCACTGAGATCCATCTTAGACATGTCGAATTCTACATACCATAAAATCGCCAAATGAATTACAGAGGTCCTTAAGCCTGTAAAAAACTCATTATCAAATCATTCTGTAAAAAGTCTATTTGATCTGACAGGTATATTAGACACCTTGAATATTAAGGAAAAGGTTATGTGCTCAATTGACATAGAATCTTTATTCACCAATGTTCCCTTCATGAAACTGTTGGTTTCATCTGCGATTGCATATGGGATAAATTTACCTATTCCTGTAACTTACATCATAGACATCATCTTAATGTGTACAGAAAATATTAGATTCACCTTTCAAGAAAAGGTATAGAAACAAATCGATGGTCTTGCGATGGGGAGCTCTCTTGGGCCCCTGTTAGCAGGTATATACATGTCCAAATTCGGGAAACAAATGCCAGTATGCTTGCAGAATTTATACTATATAGATGTTATACAGATGATACTCTCATTATTGGTAATAATAGTAAATCCATTGAAAACTTTATTACCCTATTTAATCACAATCATCCAAATATCCGAGTGATTTCCGAACTAGAATCGAACAACAAACTCGGTTTCCTGGATATTACTTTGACCAGGAGAGATGATGGAACGATTAAACGATCTATTTTTCGTAAACAGACATGGAGTGGACAAATTTTCATTTTACCAGTTTTGTTCCTATCCAATATAAACGTTCCCTAGTGAAATGTTTGTTCTCAAGGGTACGAAAAATATGCGCGAGTGACACATTGATGGATGAGTTTTGACAAATACATTCAGTTTTATTAGCTAATGATTATCCGCAAAACTTTATCACTTGTCACAGTAAAAAAGACCACATCTTGAAAAGACATCTTCTGTACCAAAAAAATCTATCTTCATTAACCTACTATTCAAAGGCGACCAGATTATGCAGTTGACAACTCAAAGACTTCGATCAGCCATCAAACGCACATTCTACGCCGCATCTCTTTTTCTCACTTGCCGAACATTTCCGATCCCTGTACATACGATTAACAGACGAAATTCTGTGGACTCTACTTCAAACTGTAGCTACAAGTTCACCTGCAGTTGCGGTGACACTCACATATATAGGTAGAACCAACAGAATGTTTCAATGTCGTCAAAAAGAACATGTTCCAAAATGGTTATTAAAACACAGAAAATTCCAATGCAATCAATCTGAATAGAAATCCAGCATCATCCATTGCAAAACACTTATTAATGTGAGGGGTCACAAAATCAATAATAATAACTGTTTCACAATTATTTTACATAACTCTAACTGAAGGTTATTGAAGGTGATGGAAGCAATTTGGATTAATCACATACGGCCTAAACTGTGTGTACAAAAAACAATAAACTTCAACCTTCCATTGCCTACTATGGACTACTTGACCTATCTAAATATGATTGGTCATTAGTATGTACTTTGTTTTATTTAACTGAATAATTGTCATGAACTTTATTATTGTTGACCATGTTAGTTGCAAAGCGGTTGTAAAGAAACTACTAAATGACGATATCATCACTTCTTAATGCCTTATTCAATTTTATTATACTTTGTAATTTTATAATTTAGACCTTTGGCCGGAAATACTTTTGGAACGTTCTCACTCATTTACTAAAAGTACACGACTGTACAGCCTCTGTTGATGATTTCGCCGAAAATAAAATCTTCCTTCTCTGCGACCGTCTTTTTGTTATATCCTTAGATGAAATCCAGTTGAAAAATTGAAATATCATTGTAACGACAGAAGACAAGGGTCAGGCAGCAGATCGTTTATTAAGAAAATCAAAAGATATTTGTAGATTTTTATGTACATTATTATCAGTGGAGTAGCAGCCAGCTTTCACCACACCATTAGCGTATTTAAATAAAGTACAGGTGAGGTGTAGTCTTAATGTAACATTCACTTTCATTGACACCGTTTACAGACGAAAGGATAAGATTGTTATATGATCTCCTTTGGGTCGATTACTATCAGACTGTTTCATGACAAGGTTTCAGAATGGTCCATTAAAGTCGACAACTGATAATTTTTAGCTGTATGCAAGGTGTGTGAACAGTAATAATGACCTTAGTCAGTAGTTGTCAGTATTTCACAACTTTGTTAAGATTTCTATTGCTTCACGTTCCCACTGGAACATCGGACTTCAAGCTGGAGGCTTAAATTTTCTGTAGCAGTGTTAATTATTCTTACAGGATGGGGTTGCTAGCCTTATGCCCGACCTTTCCTCTTTACCAGTCTTATTTCTGGCTTACCGAGGTAAAGGAGAACGTCGTCGGTGGCCGACGTTTGAACCCCGGGTCACCTGCATGGTCAGCTAGCACTCTATCACTGTTCCCCCAACGTACAGACAACTACCGCCCATCAATAAAATTCTCCCTTGAAGTGGGAAAGGTATACGAAATTCTATTTCGTTATTCATGTGGAAGTAGCGAGAAGGCTGGATAGGACCTTAAGAAAGTCTGTCCACAGGAAATCCACATAAGAAGGTTGACTAACAAGTTTCAATAGTCGACTGTCTTTTGAAAGAAGACGAAATTTCATCAAACTCCTTGCCACTGGCACCCAACACATCTTTAGCCTTGGATGCTGTAGAAGAAGAGGATCTTCAGAAATGAATTTTCATTCCACTAGGGTACCTATAGAGATTCCCTGACAAGAACATCAAACTAGAACCTCCGAGAAAAGAGACGTTATTTGTACTAAAACAGAGACCTTACATAAATAATAATAATGATAATTACGGTGATGGCTTTATTTTAGGGCATTACTCCTTTGATTCTGAGGGAAACTTAACCGGCGATAAGTGAAGAATTTAATCTTCCCTGAAAAGAAATGACTGCGCATAAAAGAATTCGTACAATTAGAGAGGAATATGAGTTTATTCGAATGAAAAAACCTTTTTGCTCCACATCACTTGGTTTGTTCTTTTCATCGATACAAAGTAACACAAATAACAAAATACCTACCTTCACTTTTTTACGAGATTTAGCATGATATCGTCTTGGCTGTACTGTTGGCGTTGCACATTTATTCTCCTGCATATTGATAATTTCATCAAGGAAGCTTTCAGCATTCTCCTTTTAGACAAACAGAAGAACAGGAATATGAAGAGCAACAGAAGTAGTGATCATTATATATGTGTATATATGAAATACATTTCTGAGTCTCTTGTCCTACCTACTGTTCATAGAAATCTGTTAAAGGAGTTTCTCGAAGTTCAGGTTTTCAAGTTATTGATTGCAATCCGAGTGACTTAATTGTAAACTGATTACCTCGAAATCTAAAATTCTTGCGTTCAGTCTTTGTTGTTAGAGAGTGTATCATGAATTTCTGGCTCATTGGACTAGGTGATAGACGTGTAACTGTCATGAGAGCTGGCTGCCAACCAAAATTGGTGGACAGTATTTTACGTCAATGTTTATGCCTCCAATATTGGTCGTAAGAAAAATATGAACAAAGACTGATTCAACAACCAACCACAACAGACTTTGCGTAGGCGGATACAGTTAACAAATAGATGATCTGACATTCAAGAAACAGCCACAAAAAGATGCAAGGTTAACTTTCAGTGAGAAACAACCAATCAGAAGACTGTGTTTTTCTGCTAATAGTAATCTATAATATGTACGTGAAAATCTATGAATATGTGTTGGTTTCTTTAATAAACGATTTGTTGACTGGCCCTTGTCTTCTGTTTATACATTTGGTGTCGCTGCCTATCGACGAATGGAAGGTCTATGCCCTGCAGTTTTTGATGGAGACATATGGATCTTAGGGCAGGACTTCGGGCTTCTGTGCAGTTGAGTGGCGTTCAAGATCTGTCAGCGATGAGGCTGCTACTTGGGACACTGCTGTGAGGTCGCGAGAAAGCAGCATATGAAAGTGTGAGGTGAAATACTGACGAGTGTGCCACAGGGTCAGGCAAACAGTTTCCAAAGTGGGAAGGACCATATATGGTCACTTCGAGATGGGGTTGCGCAGATACAATCGCAACGGCAAACAAAGAGAAATTGGTGAACGTCAGCAAGCTCCAGAAATGCATAGAGCGAGACAAGCCAACGATGACCCCCGTGCCAAGAAGATCAAGCCGACTTCAGTCGAAACCATTTGATGGTGGGATGAGTGTGGTGATAGCTGGCTGCTATCCAAAATTGGTGGACAGTATTTTACGTCAATGTTTATGTCCTCAATATCGGTCGTAAGAAAAATATAAACGAAGGCTTTGCGTAAGCGGATGCAATTTACAAATAGATGATCTGACATTAAAGAAACAGTCACAAATAGATGGAAGGTTAACTTTCAGTGAGAAATAACCAATCAGAAGATTGTGTCTCTCTGCTTGAATAAGCTATAATAATGTACATGAAAATATATAAATACGTGTTGATTTCCTTAATAAACTATTTGTTGCTTGGCCCTTGTCTTCTGTTGTTACATTGTCAATTACATGATAATGCAGTTGACTGTTGAGAGAGTCAAGTGCATACTGCTGTAAATTTTGAACTTGAAACCTGACAATTATCCAGTTCCTCCTTGGTTTTCATCAGGTCTTCAAATGAATGTCAGCTGATGATTAAACATATCAAGAAATCGAAGAAATATTCAAAATCCCGTTATATGAAGATCAAGTTTACAGTAAATTAGGTGTTGTCTTTGCCTCTGACATCACAAATATCCACAAGTTTTTATTTGCCTCTTCCGCAATCTTCGGAATGTCACCCTTGAATCCCTTGGTGTATGCTCGATCCATCCCTATTTATTTTGGCCTATTTGATGGGCATTGGGTTCTCGGCAATCCTACTCACTGTTAAGGTTCCTTGTTGATTATCCTATCTGACTATCTGATCTTCAGTGTTGAGTGACGTCCGTTGATGATAAAAATCTGCATTCGCTTTTTGGAAATGCTTACAATGACACACTCACACATTTATCAAGTGTCCGAACCATATTGAAGCTTTGGTTTGACAACAGTGCTGCAGATCAAGACCTTGTTCATTTTGTGAATGCAGCATTTGAATTTCACTTGTTATGTTTAGTATAGTAGGCTTTCAGACTGATTCTAGAGAAATAGCTGTCACCTTTGCTTTTTTCAAACCTGTGTGGGTTGAATTCTTCATCCATGCCGTCTGTAGTTGAAACGATGCCTCCTATATTGGCGACATTGAAGACTTCTTTCGAATTTCTCTTGTAGATAGTGATTGATGCTACATTTTGATCGTGAGGGATATTCATTACCTCTATCTTCGCTGTGTTCACTTGACATCCTGTCTTCACTTCCTGATTACCTTGCAAAATTATCAGTTTTCTTCTGAATACCTGAGAGTTTGTGTGACATTAGACATAAACTGTCCAGGAAGTGCAGATCTTTTTAAGTCTTCTTGTCGGTACATTGTATCCCTGTCTTCTTGCTCCCCACCACAATCTACCTTTTCATCGATGCTAGGAGGCAGAATTGTTTTGTTTCCATCTTCACTTGGAGACCATCGATGAGTTCACAGTTGTGAATCACTCGAGATGTGGCATCATCAAGCCCATGGTCTAACCTGAAACAAATAGACGTTCTAAAATACCAACTTAACAGCGCAGTAGAGAGAACATTTCCTGCAGCTTAACTGATACTCAAGTTGTCAACTGAACCAGTACTCAGACAGCGAGTCACAGAGAAATCACCAAAAATGGTCTCATCAGTGTGTATCTATGAATTCAACTGCTCATGTGGAGCTAGTTACATTGGCCGTACTCAGAGGGACTTGTCCACTCACGCGAGTGAAAATGTAAATCTATGGTTGAGTAAAGGGGTAACCAAATGCATAAATAGTGCAGTCTTAGCCCACCCACTTGGTAGATACTGGACACCCGATAAAACTTGACCATGAGGTCTGAGTTATTTACCGCGTCCCTGGTAATCTATCTAAGGGAGCTGGACTACGTTTTCTATCAGTAGTTGAAGCGGTTGCAATCAATTCCAGAAGACCGACTCTTTGTATAGAGAAGAAGTATGTTCAACCACTATGCTTACCTTGGCCTTACAAAAAGGCCAACAAATCCTCCATAAACATTAGCACTATAAATTCGTATCACGATTTTCTTTTCTTTTCTTCTATTCCTTTGTTTCATTAAAAATTGTTAATTTTCGACTTTTATGATTTCATGACCTTTCTTATGATTTTATTACCTTAAGTTTAAGTAGTGCTTCTCTAACTTGCTATCGTATTTACAAAATCCTGTTCATTCCACTTCATTATTATCATTATTACCATCTGACAATCTTTCACCAATAGTACTTGTCATTTTACACCATATCATCGTTATTATTTTACAATCATTCTTATTGCTGCCATTTTCAAACTTGAACTTATGTCCAGTCCGCCCCATTCGTTGGTTTATTTTCATATTGTCTCACACACCATGAAGACACTCACTTTGGAAACCTGTATTTTTCTGTTGACTATATTTATATGTATACACACATACATCATTACATTAAATTACTTCATCTCATTTTGTCCCATGTTCTCATTGACCATGCATATTAAAAAAAACTATCTGACTATTGTTTCATCCCATCTTACTTATACTTGTTCCACAATTCACTTTCTGATATGATTCTAATTCGCCTTTACTGGCTGGCTGGCTATTGTATGCTTAAATTAATGGATTTATAATTGTAGAGCCTGAAGAAGACGGATTTACGGAAACCACATTTGTTCGCTCTAAATATTTTGTTTTATCTCTGTTTGTTTTGACTGTCGGTAAATATTTCAATTTAAGTTCATGTATTTAAAAATCAGAGATTCCCACTGCTTTTTCCTAGTTTCGTTCGTAAAATAGGAATCAAAAAAAAGTATCGGCAGTACGTACCCACTGGAATCCGAAGCCAGGATCTTCCGGTTACAAAGCAAGCTCGTATGCCATTCAGCCACTGGGACCCGATTCAATGGCTCATGAATTCTACCAATTCGTGATTTAGCGAGACCCCATCCATTGTCGTTGGTGGGACATCCACCCACACACGTTAGAATTCATAAGCTATTGAATTGAGTCCCAGTGTCTGAATGGTATACGAGCTCGCCTTGTAACCGGAAGGTCCTGGGTTCGAATCCCAGTCTGTCTGTCTGTTTTCGACATAGAACTTTGCACAAATGTGCGGAAGTTCAAGTCGCCACATTCCGTGTAGCACGCGAAGCAAGAGAAGAAAGTACAAGAAAAGCATAATAGAAACAGTGAGCAGAGGTGTGAGACAAAGGAGTAATAAAGAAATACAAAACAGTTTCATTGAAGATCATAAGTCACAGGGAGTGGATGCATCTGCGCCACTGAGAACGATTTTGAGCCATGTCACCAATTGTTTCCAACCATAGATTTTTACCGTCCCGAGGACCCCAGCCTGGAAGTCTACACATTTCTACGTGGCTTAGACCAACTGTTGTGGATTTCATTGACTGATGCCAAGTTTTTGTTTGACCGCCGCTAGCTTTTTTCCAGCCTGACCCTATATCCGCTAACATTGCTCGTCGAGGGAGGCGATGGCTTGGCATACGTAACACATGTCCTAACCATCTCAGTCTTTGTAGCTTCACGACTTCGTCGATTGATTTCCCCTGTTTACCTAGAACTCTACGCCTAACCTCCATGTTGCTCACCTTATTATGCCACTTTACACGGGAAATAGAACGCAGGCACCTATGATCAAAGACAGCTAGTCTTTTCATGTCTTCCACTCTCAGTGGCCAGGTCTCACAACCATAAAGGAGGACGGAGCGGACTGATGAGCAGTACACCCGCCCTTTGGTCGATAGTCGAACATCTCGTCTACGCCAGAGTCGGCGTAAACTAACAAATGCGAAACGAGCCCCTTGTATTCGTGCTGAGATTTCGTCAGAGATCAACCCGTTGGCACTGGCTGATGGTACTTCCCAAATAAGTGAAGCGGTCAACGTGCTCTACCACTTCACTTCCTATTTTTAAACTAGGCGTCGATGTAGTCCAGTCCTGTAACATCATCTTGCATTTGGCGGGAGCGAATCGCATGCCAAACATTCGTAGATTGCGGCTCAAGGTGTTTAGAAGACTCTGCATTTCGTCAGCGTCTTCGCCTAGAAGGACTATATCGTCTGCATATTCCAAGTCAACGAGATTATTCCCCGGTAGCAAGTCAATCCCTGAGTCGCTGAAGTCACCTAGGGTTAAGTCCATTAACACATCTATGATGAAGTTGAATAGAAAAGGGGATAATGGGCATCCTTGACGGACACCACTGGTCGTCATCAGTTCAGATGACAGCTCGCCGTAAGCCCTCACCTGGCTGTATGAGTACGAATAGAGTGCCTTAATCAGTGCAATATATTTTCTTGGAATTCCCTTTACAGCCAAGCATCTCCAGAGAACTTCGCGATCGACAGAGTCGAATGCTGCCTTTAGGTCAAGAAATATAATGACTGTTGGACGCCGGTAGGAATGCCTATGTTCTAGAATCTGTCGGAGGGTGAAGATATGATCAATACACCCTCTTCCTGGTCTAAAGCCTGCCTGGCTCTCTCGTGTTTGTGCCTCCCGAGCACCACTCAGTCTACGCATGATTATTGAGCCTAAGACTTTAGATACTATATTAGTCAAGCTAATCCCTCTGTGATTATCACAGGAAGACTTGTCTCCCTTCTTGTATATGGGGATAATCAGTGACTTACACCAACCCGATGGGACTTCTTCTGATTCCCAGACGCTGCCTAGTACCTCAGTTAATGCAGACAGTAAGCTGTCTCCACCGTACTTAAATACCTCTGGCGTCATTCCATCAGGTCCCGCTGCTTTGCCTAGTTTCAGATTGGTGACAGCTTTAGTAACCTCAGTTAGGGATGGAGGACCTGTGTCTATATCCCAGTGGGTGCGTACTACTGATGATTCCCAAATTAGGCTAACGAAACAGCTGTCCAGTACTTCCTGGGCTCTTTAACTGATATCAATCCATGGTCAGTTCTTAAAAAACATAACTAATCCTTTCAAAGGCAAGCTACAGAAAATCAAACAAAATTCAAAGTCCAGGAAAGGGATATCTTCGAGTTATAGCCTGTAGGCATTTGATTGACTCGAACTTGAATCGCAATTTGATGCTGTCTTAGTTTTGCGACTTTTCGGTACTGTTCGCCCATGACTAATCTTGGAAGCAAACGCAGGACCTTCGGTTTACCCGGCGAGCTCGCTGGTCATTCAGCCACTTCATTAGATTCCGAAAGCACACTGATTCTAACTTCTCTACCATTTCTGTAACGCCCTCATCATCCAATGTTGAGGTCAAGTATCTGTCTCCACATCTTGATAAGATTTCAATCAAAGATACTTAAATTAAATCCTAAATTAAATTTGGTTACTGGTCGGTAACTAGTGCGAATTTAATAATACATATATGCATACATTGGCGACGGTGATTCAACTAACTGATTCTAACATAAGTGATTTTCATGGTTTCATCTTTCAGTCATCAGTGTAGGAGATGACATCCTTCAGGTGATTATTACCTACATTCCACTGCTTTCCTTGTGGCTGTTTTTGTTGAATACCCTCCGAATGCTTTTATAACAATTTGAGATTATTTAATTGGTGGATAGTGACTAGCAGTGGAATCCAGGATAAAGCGCATTTCGTCCTATTTGGAACTCATCATCTGGATGTACCTGCATTTCACAGTGAGTGATCATGTTCCCACCGTGGCTTGAACCCAGTACCCATAGTTTGAAACGCCAAAGCGTTATCCACTAGACCACTTGGGCCAGGAGAGCCACCTCTTGTGCAACGTTTCATATTAATTTAATTTGAGAGTTTCCCGTCGATTGATTGAACCGAAGTGCTCAGTCCCAGATTGACATGTCAGCTTCTTGTGCAGATGATTCGACGATGTCTGGATATTTAGTTAGTACTTAATTGGTGGATGGTGACTAGCAGTGGAATCCAGGATGGGCATTTTGTCCTATTTGGGAATCGTCAGCTGGATATCAAACCAATCGGCGGAAAAATCTCAAATTCAATTGAATTTGAGATTCTTGTTCATTCGACTACTAAGCAGTTGAATGTCATAGCTTGCATTCATCACTTGATTTTTTTTTATTTTTCTGTTTGTTGACGTATTTATACTATTGATTGAATGTTTTAAGATCCTAATTCGTAACTTAAAGGCCCTGGCTTCGAATCTCGGTGGAATCCAGTACCTTCTGGCATAGAGTAATTCTTTAACTAATCTTAATTCGTCATGAAACTTCAAAATTAATCAATCTCCCTACAAAATACGATTGAAGTGTGTAACTTTGGTTAAGCAGAGGGTAAAATACAAAATGACTTACTGGATATGTCTTCCTCCATCTATCAGCACGTATAATCATATCGACCAGCGCTGTGTAGTTTGCTTTAGCTGCAACCATAAGGGGTGTTAATCCATCCTGAAATTTGAAATTAACAAAATATAAGTAGGCGAAATGGACAAGATGTATAGCTCGGAAGATTGACTTACTTCCGGTGTATTCGCGTCTTCTTAAGCAACATCCTCAGTATTGATTGACTTTAATATGAAGTCAGGAGGGAAAGCTGTCAGAGTTATGAACTGTGTACTGAAGCCAATGATGAAGACGTTGTCTAGAAAGAGTGAATGCTTCTCAGTTAAAACAACTATCTCAGAAAATACAATTTCATCAAGAGTTATGAATCACTTAGTTCTCTTTGTGAATTTCGGTAATACAATAAGAAGAATGGATACTGAACAAAGAATACTCTTTTCGATAACTTCATCATCAGGTTCTACAGTTATATATCCATCCATAATAGTAGTGAACGAATTAATGTTATTAACAACATTAATGCTGTTTAAATAACATCGAATCAATAATATTGATAGATTACAGATCAACAGCATCAACACAACAATAAACTAAATGTCAGCTGAATTGGGAAATATAATAATACAAATTAAACAATTTATAGTCTCTACTGAAGGCCAGTCAAGACAGTAGTAGTGGCTTGCTGGACTTGCTTCTTTTGAACAAAGAGTACTGGTTGTTTGATGCGAATCGCAATAGCCTCCGCAGTTTGGAACATGCAATGATTCGAGGATTTTGGCAATTTATTAGGCACCCAGTAGATGATGATAGAGAAGGATTCTTCATCATTTATGGCTTTGTGGCCGGCTGGTTTAGACCATATGGTCTAATATCGAATTGCTGATGGATTTTACTACACCTTTACTTAGCCATAGTGGGAGATGGTCTCAAGCGAGTACGAATATAAAAGTTCCTAGAGCAATGGCCGATATAACTCGCTCCACAAGCGCAGTCGAATTGGTAGATATAATTAGAAGTGGCTAGCTAATTTAGGTACTTCATCTTTCGATCAAGGAATCACCATCGGTCGTGTAGAGAATAAGACGTGTAGTTTACCAGCGTTAAAAGTTCTTTGGACTGATTTCCATAACGTCTTCGTAATTATTTAGCTAGGTATATCGCCCTTAAATTGCAGTCATACATGGAAAAAGGCTTCTTGTTTACGGATAGTGAGTACTCATTTTCAACTTTCTTAGACATATGTTTCCTGACGAATTTGCCTGGATAACTATTTTCGATCAAGGTATCATATACATTCCTTAGTTCACCTTCAAATACCTCTTCTGAGCATATATCGCTAACCCTGTGGCTGGAGGTCCTTACTAAATTTTTTTGTAATTGATAGGAACGAAGCTGTGAAAATGTGTATATCGTCCTGTCCATGTACTTTTTTATGCAAATTTTCCTTGATGCTACCATCTGGTTTTCTTGTAAAGAGGTGATATGTATCCATATATATATATGTGTATGGTGGTCTCTCTCTTTCTGTTGCTCTCTTAGTCTGTGACCATTTCACTTTGATGAACCAGTCTCCTTTAACAATGTATATTCCCCTTATATTATATATAATATGTGTGTTTGTTGACAGTCTGTCCTTGGTGATATATATCCATATAATGTGTGTTTGTTGACATGTCTGCTATATTTTGCTATGTATATATGGATCGATACTCCATTATAATTAGCCAATCATGTTAAGACTGTCGATTGATTGTTCACACTTGTTTGGACATTCATATATATTTTGCTCTCACACTACTGTGTGATACATTGATTCTCTTTGTGTTTGGAAAATAGAGGTATCATCGCAAATCTAGTGGTCTTCTGATTTCTGTCTTTCTTGCGTCAGGACTCTTAAGTTCTCGACCAGTACATAACAATAATTTGGCGACGAGTACTTAATAAGGGGATATCCAAGATGGCAATTCTGTTTTGGGATTCCTCTTCGCATATGCGAAGCATTGCGGAGATATTTGAGAGACGTGAAAGAAACACAAACAACACACAATATGAAGGAAGCCCAGAAATACCACAACACATAAGATCTATGTATATGGTTCGTTGAAGATAAGGTGTACATAATTTCGATACATAGAGATACAAATTGCCAAATAAACATTCTTTAAACAAGTCATACATCTTCTACCGTTACAACAGGACACATAAACGCTGCCTCAAACTTTCTCCTCCTATCATTAAAAAACTGAATCAATCAGTTGTCTACATAGAATAAGTCCTGATAAATTTCTAATGGATTGAGGTATGGAGGGAAGGAGAGAATCATCTGGTGTTCACATCGTTTGAATACCCCTAGTAGACACTATTCCTTTGAAAGATTAGTTTCCACTAAAAAATGCCGATTATTAGTGTACAGTGCTGCAGTTTTTCTGTTATCTTTCTCAGAACCATTATCGGTCTTGAATAAAATATACTATTGGTATATATGCACAGAAAAGAGACCTGGAGGGCGGTTTATCTTAACTTCAAAAGCTTCTGCCCCATAAGTTACAAAAAGGGATTAGCGATAACATTATCTGATTGTGTTAGGAAGCTGTGTTCAAAAGAAAAGATTGAAGAAGAGCTATCCATTGTGGAGAAATGCCTACGCGACAACGGTTACTCACAAAAGTTCATCGACAAATGTAGGCGACGTCATGTTGAAAAATTGCAGTAGATAAAGAGGCTACCTTTCTGCAGCTTACATTCAAAGGTCATGATACTGCTAATAGAATAAGATGCAGAATGAACGCTGCCATTAAAAGAAGAACATATCCATCCGTCAAGCTTCTATGTGTTTATCAATTAACTAGTTGTTTGAGACAATCAAAAGTGAACAAATACCCACCTCATGTTACCTCCAACTGTGTCTACCAATTTACATGTACGTGCCAAAGCACACACATTGGAAGAACAGAGAGAAGGGTTAGTGTCCGCATTTACGAACACATACAAAAGAACCTGAGACTGAGAGTTCCGCAAGCATTAAAAAGTGCGATTGCTCGGCATCTATTAAATACTCGTTATATTGTAGGCAACCTGAAGTCAGTCAAAATAATTAACAAGCAAAAGAAACCTAGCTTGCTACGCTTTGCTGAAGCAATTGCTATTTCAAACGACTTAAATCAAATCTATGTACGCAGAAAGAGACAGTGGTGAATCTTGCACTGCTCTGGTGATAACAAAACAAAATATACAACTTTTATGAGTCACCTTTTTCATGTTTGGAAAACTTTACTTTCACATCTAAACATGATTCACCCTATCTTGTTCTTTTCTTTTTTTCTATTGGTATTGGCTATTAGGTAAACATTCTCTTTAGTTACGTAATCTGCTTTTTTGTTATGCTCTTCCTAGCTAAGCCTTGTTTCTATACACACGCATATATATGCAACCCTGTTTTATTTGGTTTCCAAGCCTAATTGTCTAATTATTCTATAAATAGTCAGTGTTTGTAATCCCTGATCAGTTAAATCATTCTGAACTAATGTCACTTTTAATTCCTACCAATTACTCCTTATGATCGTGGAAAAGTATGTTCAAATCTTTAATGTAATTCATATTTTTTATCGTTGAGGATGTAACCAGTTGAGAAGGATCCTCGGAATAATAAAAGATGAGCTTATATTATCCTGGTATAATTGTTGTTCTTGCTTTGTTCAAGTTTATTAATGGGAAGAATTGCATGAAGATTTGAAACCTTCAGTTATTTAAAATCTACTGTACTCAGGATAGGGAAGAAAATCTGGATTTTCAACACTAATGTCAAGCCAATCAGTGCTCTTATATATATATATATATATATATATATATATATATGATTTAGAGACTTGAAGCACACATCACCGAAAGCATTCCTAACAGACTAATGAAGGCTATCATCAACAACGGCTTCTACTGGTTTATTAATGGAAAGAATTGCATGAAGTTTTTATTATCGGTATGTTTAAAATATTTTGGAATAAAATATGAGGTAACTTTCGTTGTCACTGTGACAGAAAGTAAATAACTCAAAATCATGCTATTGTTTGGAAGGATATGAAGAGATGTTCTCCGGGATGACAGTAGGCTATACTATCATGTGGCGGTGCACAGTGTCCTCATTCTTATATAGCTTTCTCATTGATGTTACAGTTATGTTACCAAAGTGTGAAGATGAAATACAAAGCCATCCTAACTTTATGAGTGTTCGGCATGCGTGTCAAGTGCAAGACAATTCTGTAGACATGATTTGATTGACAATTAGTCTGAAGACAGCAAGTCGAATGGTTAAATGTGTTGACCACTTCACTTAGCCTTTTGGATAGACTACATCAATTCTAATGGACTGTTTACTGACCGGAGATATAGAGGGCTGGTTTTCCATTTATTTTCTTTTATCGTCTTTGATGCAGTAGCGATATCGGTTAATTATTAAAGGACGTGTGTACGGTGCAGTTGTCCTTATCCTATTTTACAGGTATAAGACAATTGAAAAGACTACAGGATTCAAACCACAATTGTCTTCGTCTAATTGTTCTCGTAGGATGAGACAAAGTGTAAAGTGATTATGTGAATACAGGCAATGTTAGGTTAGGAGAACGCTGCATATTCTATCGCTGAGATGATTAGGATATGTGTTATGCGTGCTAAACTACCATCTTCTTTAATGAGCAATATTACTTGACATAGAGTTAAGCTAAAAATAATTAGTAATTGTCAGAGCAGGATGTTACATCAGTCAATGAGGTTTCACTCGCCTAGAGAGTAACAGAAGAGATTTGTATTGTTTTGCTAACTGCCCCTGCATCCTTATTTCTCAGGAAGAAAGCTGTACGTTGTATGTAGGGGAAATCGTTCACTTCATTGCTAAATGAGACTGTCGCCCACCAAGTAGTTATTCTTTCTCATTTTCTGTCCTTCTGCTTCTTGAATTACTTGCCGCACTCTGATGATCTAACCGTTTCGATGCCTGTTAACTCCCAGCAAGAGTGTACCAAGATGAACGTCTCCCTATGAGGAGTGAGCATATGGTCTTTGTCTAATGGTCTTAAGCTAAATCCTTTTAAATGTCATTCTGTTAATTTCAGTTTTCAACGTACAAAAAATTAAATGATGCTGTTCATCTCTGTGAGCGTTGTAAAATTGATGATACTGATATGAAAATGAAGTTTGACGTTAAGTATCTTGGATTTATTCTTTCTCCTGATCTATCTTACCTCTCCCACGTCTTAGCGATTTCTAGTGAAATATTCTGTTTGAAATTTCCCATTAAGAAGTTGAGGTACTCAGGCATGACTTAACGCCTCTCCCCCACCCCTCCCACACTTTGTCAACTTGTACGTCGTACCTATTCTTCTTTACTGTTCACCCTTACCACTTCCTGATTTGCTTAAAAAGGACTGTGTTATACTCCATAGTACTCTAAAGACTGTCAGTCAGAAGGGTGAGTGGTATCCCATTGGGCGTTATCGTTGACGTCATCATTATTGATAGGCAACCGGGATTTTGTCAGACTGTGATCATCCACCGCAGAACTCCTAGCCCTTGCCTAGCATCTCCTCAGGTAGAGCAAGAAGTCATTTCGAAAGACTTTATACGTGCACATCTAAGTATGAACATTCTGTGACACCATATCTGGCACGTATTTCATGTGATGAAAATAGTGTCAGGCACTAAATATTTAACTAACCAACTAACTAGCTAACTGACCTTCTTTCCACTGGTAAATAAACAATTTTCTCCATGCTTATACTACCAAGCTGTACTGCTATTATTCCCCTTATATTCATAATCCTCTCATTTATTTTGTTTTGTTTATTTTTTCTTAAGTGTAAACATCACTTGACCTCTGTGATAATTGTTATTTTCCTTGTTTTTCCCTTCACCATGTTATATCAAAAGGACATTAGATTCAATACTTTACATTATGCTAAGTTTCTCGTAATATATAGACAGTATTGTTTGAAACAAACCCACTGTTATTATTATTACTATAGTTATTATTCTCACTTTGTACTATGCACCTTTTTGACGTTATTCCTACTGTAAATGTGGAAACGTTTCTGTGGTTACTATTTATTTATATTTTGAGTAAATATGATGTAATATTGTGGTAAATGCTGAGAATTCTATACTGTATTGTGAGTACTCAGGAGGAAACAGGCATAAAATGAACTCACACAAAAAACTTGGAGGATCTGGACTTCGCCAATAATGATATATGTCTGATTTCCCACAAGCTGGAAGATATGCAAGTGAAAAGCAACAAGCTGGCAGAAGAAGCATCAAAGATAGGACTTCAAGTGAACATAGATAAAACAGAGGTGATGAAGATTCCTGGCCAACAGCCACAACAACAACAACAACAGACAACAACCAGCCAGCATAAATGGAAGGAACCTGAAAGAAACAACCTCCTTCACCTACCTACCTATCTGGGAAGCATCGTTTCAACTACAGGCGAACGGAACTGACGAGGATATCAAAGCCAGAATTGGAAAAGCAAAACAAGCTGTCATTACTCTTAAGTCTGTGTAGAAGTCAACAGCTCTACTCAGCATCGAAAATAAGATCTGGATTTTCAACTCCGATTTGAAGTCAGTGCCACTTGCTATATGGATCAGAGACTTGCACTGCGCGTCATGAAGAGCACCTCAAACAAACTAAAGAGCATCATCAACAAATGTCTTCACTCAACACTACTCTACATCAGATGGCCGACCAGAAAGTATCAGCAACAGGGATCTTTGGCAATGAACGAACCAACCCAACAGGAACCGATTGTGAAACAAAAATGCAAGAAGAAATGGAGATGGATTGGCCATAGGCTGAGGAAACCATCAAGTGACATCACCAAACAAGCCATTGCTCGATTGGAACCCGAAAGGGAAGCGGCGAGTTGGTCGTCAGTGCAAGGTTGACTTGGGGAGGTCATGTGAAGAGGAGATGAAAGCCTGTGGACAGACTTGGAGCAGAGTGAAAAAGTTGGTAGAAAACTGAACGCAATGGAGACGTTTGGCTGAAGCCCTATGTTCCTCTAGGAATTAAAAGATATGATAATAATATAATAATAATTGTGAATACTGTATTTGAAATTAAGCAGATTATTTTGATTATTATTTGAATCTGCTTAGTTCAGCAGACAAGGCGGATTTTAAACACTGGCTAAACTGACGCTGGTTTCAATAAGGAGATACCTATATTCCGACCAGCGATTATCAGATATCATGATACACAGACATTCTGGATTTCAATACTATGCTGTAGGGAATTCGTAATTGAAAGATGTGCACCTCCACGGATCGTATTTTGTACTTCATTCGTCTGAGTGTGTGAAACAAATATCTTGAATCGAACATATATGTCAACATACATTTTGACGTTCACTATGTGTTTGTGCGTGGGTGGATAAAAAATAAACCGACCAATCAAAATAAGCTTGACGTTATTTCCATTCGTTATTTAATATTGGCTAATTCAACCAATCACATTTAAGTCGATTGCACCTATTTCTTACCTTGTCGATCAGATCCAATGGAGCACCACAAAATAGAAGAGCTTCAACTGCTTCAAGTTTATTTTGAGATACTGCATAATGAAGAGGTGTTTGCAAACGCTAAAGAAATTTGAAAAGAAAAACAATGAACAATAAATATACAAGTGAATTGGTAGAAGTCGGAATTCATGAGACCATGGATCAAGTCCCATGAGTTGATAAATGACCTACGAGCTCCCCTTGTAACCCTGATGGGTGCCCGACCCTGAAGAGTCCCAAAACTAGGGGAAACAGCTTTCCACTACTCCTAGGTGATTTTCCATGATGAAATCGTGAGATATACATGTGTTTATACTTGAAAATTTGCCTGCTACCTTATTCATAGATGCACGCGCGAACTACTTTGAGGTATTTGGATGTTGTTTCTTTATAAATGAATTTTGGAGTTTTGTAAAAGACGGTGCCAATAATTCGAATTAGGCCTGACTTACAACTTTGTTAAAAAATAAAAGGATACAATTTTAAAACTTGAGCACTGTGGTAGAGTATAACTCCATTATGGATGAGATTTTATTTTGATAAATCACACACAGTGTTGTACAGTTATATGAACTGATGACGTTTCGAGCACAAACTATTGCCAGTCATAATCATATCAAGTATAACTGTTACGTTGAAATTTAGTCCTTTCTCAAGTACTTTTATCTTACTAGAGCTTATTTCTCTTGATGACAGGTTGATCACCCATTTTGTTTTGTCGATAGAGGATGAAGTGTTGACATCAATTTCATTTGTTGTATTCTTTTCTTCCATTAGTTTGTTGAATTTTTTGATTTGTGTGGTTTTTGATTTTCTTAAGGCTGATTCTTTAGCTTTTTCGCGTGTTTCAACAACAATTACATAATCTTTGTCATTGACCATACATTTGAGTTTTTGTTTGAGTTTTTCGATTTCATTTCCTATATTGTTAAGTTTCACAGTAACTCGATGTAGTTCTTCTCTTAGACATAATCTACTGAGATGTTCAGCTGCTGATGATATTTTCCATGAAGTGATTGGAGTGCGTATGCGTAAATATTTTGGAATTATATGATTTTTTTAAATATCGACTATTAAAAATCCGATAGTTTGTGAATCTTGCTTCTGTTTGAGAAAGTCGTGTGAGTTTATTGATAAGCTTCCTAGTGGGAAGACCATATGTATTATTGATATAATTATAAAACTTGAGCACTGTGGTAGAGTATAACTCCATTATGGATGAGATTTTATTTTGATAAATCACACACAGTGTTGTACAGTTATATGAACTGATGACGTTTCGAGCACAAACTATTGCCAGTCATAATCATATCAAGATATGATTATATATGATTATGATGATGATTATATATGATTATATGATACGATTATGAGCAATAGTTTGTTCTCGAAACGTCATCAGTTAATATAACTGTACAACACTCTGTGTGATTTACCAAAAAAAATAAAAGGAATTGAACTTTTGTTTTTGTCTTCTTAATAGTAACATAAGTATCCAACATTATGGTGGTATATACTACTAATTGATCGATATTAGTAGTTGGATGCTTACTCACGCCCACCAGTGGCGCTTTCTAGCCAGTTGGGTTGAAGCAACTTAAATATTAGGCAGCCATTCCGTTCATTTGAGATTGCTTTCATCAACAGTGTACCCGGTTCGACTACGTTTACAGAGCCGAATCTATCCGAAATTCCTTCTGAAGTCTGGCTAGCCACTTGAGTGAAATCGTAATGTACATACAAAATTCTTGATTGAACACTAGTTAGGAACTAGTGTGATGTGTCTAGTCCTATCTTCAGTGCAGACTGAATTCTATTAGTCAGGCTTGCAATATGGCCACCATTCTAGGTAGCTTGCCATTACGGTGCACAGTGAATTGTTGGTATTAGATGGTTAAAGGCAATCCTCAGGTAGCCCTTGGACTTAGGTTTCGTGCTAGTTGGTACTAGTTGACACTGGTCAGCAACCAGTGTCCGATCCAAAATATCCAATAAACTTCTACACGAGGTCGATGGTGAGCCAGCCCAAATAACTCAGTGGTAACGTCTCTGATTGCAGGGAGCACTGGGTGACACAGTTTCTTATCTCCTCAGTTAGGTCATAAGTCCATTCAAGGTTGCAGATACACCTTGCTGACTGATGAGTGCACACTGGCACGAAACCTAGGTCGGAGGCTTCCTGTGACCAAGTGGCTCTAACTATCTAATCTAGACAGAATTCGTAATTTACATTTTGAAGTGAATTTTCACCACCACTACTGCTGTGCGTCGGTGGCACAGCGGTTAGGACTTTCGACGACCATGCACATGGTCCGGGGTTTGATTTCCGGCCGACGCCGCACTCCTTTACCTCTCTGGCTAGCCAGAAATAATTCTGGGGAAGAGGAAAGGTTGAGCATGAGGCTAGCAACCCCATCCTGTAAAAAATTAAACACTGCTACAGAAACTTCACGCCTCTAGCTTGAAACCATATGTTTCACTGGGAACGTGAAGGAAAAAAACTTCAATAAGAAGCCGGAACTATTCAGATCACTTCAATATGTGATTGGTGGGTGCATTACTCCAGAAACCAAAATCCATCAACTGAGTGATTTATCATTGTCTGTTTGCAAGATTTGATCACGAATGAAGATCATTTAGAGAACAACAGAAAAACCAAGTCACAGAATTTCTGCTGAAATGGCAGAACTTAGAATTCACGGCCCATTGGATTCTAACCCATTGGTTGTATGGTCAACAAGATCATATCGTATCCTGAAGGTCTTGGATTTCGCCTGTGGTGTAATCATGGAGGTGTACTGTAGAAGAGGCTTAAACCAGGACGAAAGAGAACTGTGTAGTACTCCAACATCCTCGGTAGTCCTATAACTAAAGTCCATCAGTTCATGGTCTAACTTAAAAAACTTTGTTTTGACGAATAGTTCAACGATCGATCGTCTATACCTTCATGACATTTAACAGCACAATATTGATTAAGTTAGAAATGAAGTAGGTAGGATATATAGCATTTCTTAAATTGGATTGATTTAGTTCATCCTAAGCGTGTACAACCACAATCAATGGCACAGACATACGGAAAGTCAAAAACAATAATTAGTAAGAAAATAGTGGCTATCAACAATTCCACAGACTTACATCATTCATAGCGGTTAGGTTAAATTTTCTTGAAAATAGAAAGTAGATAGTATCGGTTAAGTTAGCCAGTGCAGCTTCGTGTAGAGCCGTTTCTCCAGTCTATAGTAGACAAAATAGAAAACACATAAACAATAAATAACTTCTGCCAATTCACAGTATAGCGCGACCAATAGCAAAATGTCATCGCTGGCGAGTATCTGTCCTTACATCCGACCTACTATACTCCATTGGTCACGATGTCTCACTGGAAGCCAGTTACCTACCTACCTGAATAGATAGACATTCAAGGGTTGATTTACAGGGATGTGACTGGTTTCAGGCTTAAAGGTCTACAAGCTCACCTCGTAACCGGAAGGTCTTGGGTTCGAACCCTGACGATAGGTGCATGCTGCCGAAGAGTCCCAATTTAGGATGAAGCCGCTGTTCAGTACTCACGAATTTTCCAGTGGTTTTCTTACTGATGTCAGCTAATGATGAAATCCCTGCAAACCAACACTTGGATACCAAATAAATAAAATGGATGGAATAGTCCCACAGTAGATTTTCTCAAAAATCGATATCAGTTAGAAAGTCGTTGGTAATCATGGAGTACAGGGAAGTCTCTCCTTTCTTATTCAGGATACTTTAGTATCAAATTAGGGATTGAACTAATGGCCGTAGAATATGCGAAGACACAGTCCTACCACTAAGGTTTTTCTCAGTTCACAGTGCAATCGATAAATGTACACTTTTCACCCGATATGTTAAACCACGTCACGAATCCATAGAAGCTAAAATTCACAGATTATTGAATTCTCACCTCGTAGATTGGTAGTCAACAGACTTGTCTCGCATTTTGGATAGTTTTGCGTTGAGCAGCGGTGAGAATAGTCATGCACTTGGGCAAAACAGAAGACCAGTACCCTACAATTTTTACTGACTCTCCAAGTAATGTCATTTCCTAACGAAATTTACATTGAAACTAATTAAATTGGCTACAAACTCAAAAGTCTAGGCTTAATAATGCTGAAGAGTATATTTCACGTAAAGAAAGAATGAGAATAGCCTTGAACAAACAAGAAAGTCTCAAATCCTGTAGTGAATGTAGAAAGATATGACGCAGTACTTTAAAAAAAAATTAACATCACTTCCCAACAAATCATTAATGCATGACAATTAATAAAATTTCAGTGTTTCTTGAAAACCATTCAGAATTCCATGCAGTGACACAACGTGGCTGCCCATATTTTGGCAGATAAAGTGGAGGTTGAACTCATAATTCACTGGCTGGAAGTCGAGTGTCTAAACTAATGAACCACATTTCCAGTCGATCATGACACGAAGTCTTATTTGCATAAGCAATCGACTTCCAGTCATCGGCTCATGAGTTTAAACTCTACTTCGCCGACTTTATTTAAGGATTAGTATATAGATCAAGTCCACTGACCAGAGTCATATAAATTATAAGATGATAGAAATTCAAATCAATGTGAAATGGAAGACCCTAATAAGAAATCAGAGCTCTCTGTTTACCGAACCAGTATTTGGAAAATAAAGTAATTACATCAATATTTGACGATTCTAAATCTGATTATCCGAGGTTTGTAGGTGTTTGCCCTGGGGTTGTCGAGGTCCGGTGCTATATAGGTGTCGAAAGAGTTCCAGTTTTCTCTGTTTATGATATATGTAAACTTCATATACTACATATACTTTTTCATGTCTGTTTGTATTCCTCTCGCCCCACGCATGACCTTGGGCTCCTATTGGCGGTTGATTGTTTTAATTTATCAATGCAATTAGTGTCTCTCAAGGTCATTTAAAGCACTGTCAATCATTTTCAGTGTTGATACGAGAAAGTAGAAGTTGTCATTGCTGTCATCGCTGTTGTTAATATTGGTCAGAACAGTAGGCTAACGAATCGACAAGGTAGGAAACTCGTCAGAGCAAATAAAATGTCTTAACGGTCGTATCAGTTTATTCAGCTGACATTAGTCATGAAACTTAAATCGAACTAAACAAATTCCAAATATTATCTAAACCTTAGATAAAATATACTTCGAAAAATTTGCAACTTTTGCTAAATATAATACTGACAAATCTTAGTGGTTGAAAACTGATCACACAAACCAGTAATTCTAGAGTCACTGAATTCACTTTATCCTTGATCACTGTTGTAAACAGACTAACTAAGCTCAGACAGCCAATTTTGAATTCTGAATGGACTGACTACATGAAGTCCAATCAGCTGGTGTTGATGAATCCACAATCTGAGGTGCTACACTGGAGTTCTGTATGTTTTAGAAACCAAATAAATCCAAATCACAAAATGTAGTCTTCATTTAAGAGTTCATGCTATCGATTTTAATACACTCATATCTTTTATTTACACTACAGCAATATTAGCACAAGGTTAATATTCGATGGAATTATTATTTTGAGAATGCTCATCTACAATGAACTCAGTATTGTTTGCAACACTAAGATCACTTATACTATCTGATAGGTCATGCTGTGTGACGTGGACACTTATTTTTACAGACTAGTAGGGGAAAAGACATTATCCACTATGTCCTTGAAAATCATAAGAAATAGGAACTGACGCTGTGCGGTGGACTTACAAAAATAACATTGGAATTTATGCACGTGTATGTATGAGTATGTATTCGAAATCTCATGATTGGTCTTCATTTATCTTACTGAACGACAACAATTAACTTCAGCAAGCATTCTTGATTGTTGAAATTACCAACGGAAGTATTTAAGGATTCAAACCAACAGCCTTCTTACTAAACTGGAATTTTACAAGAACTTAAACTGTTTTAATTAGGTGATCGCTTAGTTTTAAAGACGGTGCTTGGTTTTAATGACAGTGTCACGCGTCAGGTGATCCACACTGGAAAACTTAGCGATAAAGCCCTCGAAGTGAATACAGAAGTAAGACGAGGCTGTCTATTATCACTGATGATATTCTTACTTGTGATGGACTGGATTATGAATTAGACTGTGGGTAGTGAGGAGACAACCATAGAAGACTTGAATTTTGCAGATGATTTATATCTAATTTCACACAAACTGAAAGACTTGTAGCCAGGCGAAAACTGACAAACTGGCTGAAGAGGCTGGCAGCAAAGACGGGACTCTTAGTGAACATAGAGATTACAGCGGTGATGAAGGTTACCAAGCAAACAGTAACAACAACCAGCACCAATCGCCATCAACGGGAGGGATTTAACAGAGATTACCTCCTTCACTTATCTAGGAAGCATCCTTTCAACCTTAACTGGCAGAACGGATGAAGAAGTCAAATTTAGAATCGGAAAGGCAATACACGCCTTCATCAACCTGAAATTTTGAACAAGATTCGGATTTTCAACACCAATAATAATAATAATAATAATCACTTTATTCCACAACAATAAAAATTTACAGCATGGAATTTTCAGCGTTTCTTTTACATATTGCAATGGTTTAGCTCTGTTTATAATTATATAAATATATAAAATGTTAAAATATTGATAGTTAATAGGAAAAAATAAAAAATAAAAATAAAAACCCAACAAAATCATACCATTTCTAGGTCATAGTGAATAATAAATAAATAATATAACAAATAACACATGCATTAATATGCATCATTACATTTTATAGTTTAGTTACTGATTCAAAAGTTGTAAAAGTTCTTTTCTGATATTTGTCTCTTCACACAATACTCGTGCCAAATATGGAACGGTCGAATTTTTATATTTTGTAGTACGAGCATAAATGTTTATAAAATTTCTTCTGGTCTTACCCGAAGAGATACAAGGAAACAATTGTGAATAAAGAGGATGTTCACTATCAGATAAGATAACTTTAGCTAAGTGTTTACAAGAATTCATATGCCTATTGACAACAGTGTCATTTAGTTCAGTCAAAGGGATAGCACTGACCCTACTTACAGCCCTCAATGTTCTTCGTAGTATTATATGATCTTTCTTGAGTAGCCCAGGGAAGAATAATGGAGAACAATAAAGAATGATGGGCAAAACACATGAATTAATAAATTGTATGATAAGAGATTGAGTTATACCTGAGTGTCTCAACTTCTTTATGTAATAAGTCAGACGGAAAACTTTCTTAGAAACTATAAGAATATGAGACGACCAGCAAAGATTTGACGAGAAACTAATGCCAAGATAAGAAACACTTGACTTACTCTCAATCATGGTACCATCAATATTACAACAATCATGAGATTGAATCAATCCATGCATGTCTTTTTCACTTCTCAAGCTGAAATCAACAGTGTTACATTTAGTTGGATTTAGTTTAAGACCATTTGAGCGAGACCAATCCTTAACTTCAGCTAGGAAGCCATTCATATAGGAACAATCCGATGTGGCAACTACAGGGACAGAAACGGTCAGGTCATCAGCATACTTAATGAAGTTAACTTTGGGTGAGTTCGGAAGGTCATGCAGAAAGAAAGAGAAAAGAAATGGAGAAAGTACTGCACCTTGAGGCACACCACTTTCAGTTAGCTGGGAAGTGGAGCGCTTTCCAGCCAAAACAGTATGCTGTTTCCTATCCTTAAAATAAGAAGACAGCCATCTAGTTGCCCAGGACTCTGTTTGTGCTGAAATCATCTTTCCTAATAAAAGTGTCCTAGGAACAGAGTCGAAAGCTGCAGTATAGTCTAAAAAGCTGTTCGAACGAACTTAGCGCCCTTATCAAGGCAGGAAACAATATTGTGGTGTAGTACAATGGCTGCATCTAATGTACTTCTTCCACACTTATAAGCAAACTGCTTAGGGTCACTAAAAGCTTTTAAAGAAGGTTTAAGAATATTCAAAAGAAGTTTCTCCATAGTTTTCAAAAAAGGAGATGTTATAGCGACTGGTCTAAACTTTATACCTGCTCCAGAAGATGATTTCTGTACAGGTACAACCTTGATTTCTTTCCAGTCAGCAGGTACCGTTTCCCTCTTAAATGATGCGTTAAAGATTTGAGTAAGAGGATGACACAAGATGTCTGCACACTTTTGGAGAAGAATGCTTGGTACACCATCTGGACCAAGGCTGTGTGTTGGATTTAATGACTTCAAACATAATAGTACATCCTTTTCTTCAAAACCCTGAAAATGACCATTTTCTTGACTAGGTACATCAGGTACAACCATATTAATTTGTTTCTTGATAAATGATTTGTTTAAAGCATTTACATCAGAATAAGCATCAACGGACATTTGTTTTTTACTTGTTAGTTTATTGAAAAGTTTCCAAATGTTTGAAGGATTTTTACATGATAAAAATTTTTCATTATATAGTCTGTTCAACCTTTCTATTTCAATTTTTATAAGGGTGTTTATTTTACGGACACCAGTATTATCACAATTCTTATACAACTTCTCTTTTTGTCTTCTAAGTTTTTTCAGTTGCAAAGAAGAGATTCTGTCAAATCTCGAAAACAGTGTTTCATAAGGACAGCAAATATCCAAACAAAACTTCAGATAATCGGTTATATTAGAGACAGTAGCATCCAACTTATCGTCAGTAAACAGTTCCCAGTTGGTATCATGCAACATGCTTCTTAATGCTAGAATGTTGTCATGGGAATATGAACGTTCATGTATCTTCTTTGTTAAATGACTAAACAATTTTCGTTGTAACTTGCCGTACACTTTCGGTAAAATACGAATAATGCAGTGGTCAGAATTTAGCAAAGGAGCTCTCCTTCGGGTTTCATATACATCACGGTCATTTATGAAAACCAGGTCTAGTGATTTGTCCAGACGTGTATTAAACTTGACTAGATTCTCATGACCAAGCGAAGTAAGAAAGCTGTGATCACATAAATTAAAATCACCACAGACTATAGACAACGAGTTTCCGAATGCAGGAGCAGCGAATTCAGTAAACTCATCTGCAAACATAACTATATTAGAAAGGCTACAATTGGGTGTTATGTAAATATTTGTTATGTATATATAAGAATATTTACTTAAGTGTTTTGGGCGACACCTGACGGTTATGCAATCTATACTGTCATTAGAATAATTGAAGCAAACGTGATTTGATGTAGACCAATTTGTGTTTATATATGTGGCTACCCCTCCTCCATATTTTTTCTTGGAACTATTTCTATCTTGGCGAAAAACTTTATATCCATTTATTGAAATTAGATTATCATCATAATGCTGGTGCAGCCAAGTCTCTTGTATTGCTAAAACGCCAGCATTTCGATAAACATTGGAATACATTAGGGATTGAAGGTAATCCATTTTGTTGGACAGGGATCTACAATTAGTGCTAACGAGTTCAGGAACAGTCATTTGATTAATTTGTGTACGTTTCAGTGCACGCTGCCAGCCACAGTGATGCTTTTTTCTCAATTTTTGTGGATGACACAACGCGGTAGGTTGTAATGATTTTAAAAATGCGCGATTATATATAATACGATTAGGACACATTATTGATAAATTAAAACAAAATTAAAAGAGCAAACCAAAGCAATTTTGCAAAATGTTGTAAGGTGGAATTTTTGGTAGCCCTATGTTCAAGCAGGCCGCCAATGTCAGGTTGGCCCTTCTATATGGGTCAGAAACTTTCACTACGTGGCACGAATAAGATTTCCAATAGGTTATAGAATTTCGTCAACAGATGCTCACTTGGATAGCTCTATACTGAAGGTTGAGTGGCCAGCCGGTGAGAAAGAATCAGCAAAACGAAACTCTGGCTGGGAAAAAACCAACAGGCGAGAATAGATTTCTCATCAAATATGTAGGAGAAAATAGAGATGGATCAGGTGTACACTGAGGAGGCCGTCGAATGGCATCGCGCCCCTCAGGTTATTGCTCTGTTGGAATCCCGATGAGAAGCGATGAGTGGGTCATCGGTGTCAAGGTGACATGGAGGAAATAGTGCGAAGAAGACATAAAAGAGTGTGGGCTATTGCGGTTCAAGCTTAAGAGGTTGGCAGAAGATAGGACACAGTGGGGTTGTGTTGTTGAAGCCACATATTCGACTCGGAGCCCAAGGCAATAATAATAATAATAAATAATAATGTTCGAGCAAGACTGGCTAATATTTCCGCTGGGTTGTGGTTAGTCAAATAACCTGACATACCTGTCACTTCTCGCTCTTGTGTCAAGTGACGTTAAACGAGAGCTATCATTCCAGTTGAATGGTAGTACTTTATGTATGGATTTAACTTTAATATATGATATATATATATATATATATATTTATATAAAGTTACCTTGGTCTTTTTCTCCTTGTCTGCATTGTTTTCAATCAGGAGATCAATACACTTGTGAAATCCTTTTCTGGAACATTCAATCAATGGACAAGCGTGATTCTAAATTCAAATGAAAACGAAATAGAAAAAAAGAAGCCAAAATAATCCTTGAAAACTACTCAACAATCAACTGATGGGTGATAACTAGCAGTAGAATCAAGGATGTGCAATTCGTCCTATTTGGAACTCGTCAGAGAAACGTACCTGCATTTCCAAGTGAGTCAGTGAGTATTGGTATTCCCACTATGACTCATATTTAGCACCTATAGTTTTAAACACCAAAGTATTATCCGCTAGACAGCTTGGGCCACGATAGCCACCTCTTTCTTTTACTACGTGTGAATCGGTAATTATTCAATTCAGTTTGCAAGAAGGACAAAATGCGAATCCTCGCAGATTCCACTACTAGTCACTGTCCACGAATTAACTTCAGTTTGAATAACTAGCCATCCTCGAAACATCTGAGCTAGGAGCCGACATGTCAACCTGAGGCCGAGTATTTCAGTCCAATGGGTCAACTAAAAGGTGCCAATTGAACCAAACAATTATTCAATATTAATTTAGGAAGAAAATACACTGAATAATATTTGATTTTTGATTTTGCAATACGTTACTGTTTATTTGCGAATTTCTTATGAAAAATGATATGAAAGTAGGTATACTGTGGTGAATGCTACTGATAAGATTTATAAGTAGCACATAATGAGGTGTTCATCGGTTTAAAAATATCAAAAAACAGGGAGATTCATTTGATTTTAGAGAAGCCAAATGCTTAAGCATTGCGAAGATACATGGGGGACGTGAAAGGAACACAAAGAAACACAATATGAAGGACAGAAGTACCACAAGACGAAGATTTGTGCAAATTGTGCGTGAAAGTTTAGCTATATAAAGATACTAATTGCCAATCAATGGTTCATTCACCGACTCTTCGTCTTCTAACGTTTCACTACCACCCCATATATTATGGGGACCTCCACCCCGATGTACAATTGTTGTGAAGTTTCAATTTAACAATGAATTTTACGTCATGTAGAGGGCATAGCGGGGGGCTATGCTCTGAATCCTCTCTTAGCCTGTGAATTTGTGGCAAAATCAGAGAATCTTGCTTTCATAAAGTTAGTCAACTCTCTCTCTCTTTCTACTATTGATATGTGGACGCTACTTTTATCTTGAATAATAATAATAATAAAAAATAGATGCCTAGCTCCATCTCCAAAAGTTCAGTATGGATCACCCACAAATTGAGTTCACATATGTAAAGGAGAAACATACCACCTTATCATTTCTTGATGTCCCGCTAACGAGAAGGCAAGATGGTAGAAGTCATGGGTTGGCCAAAACACCTATTTCAAGTCATTTGTCCCTTTGAATATCTGCACAGTCAACATTCTTGACAATGAAATAAGGAAAACATAAAACTTATTATGTGACAAGGGATACTCTAAAAAGTTTGCCAAGTTTCCCTGAAGAGAACAGATAGAAAGAAATGTCTGCAGACAGTGAGGAAGCAACAGGCATACATGACTTGAAGGAGACGCAGCACATGAGTTGCTGGTATCAAAACTTTGGAAAATAACAGCTGAAACATTCTTGGATACAACAATCTGTTTCAAATCCACTATTCGTTTTATAGTTCCAATGCAGGTGAAGGATAAGCTACCGAGTCTAGCCACTTAAATGTGCAGATATAAATTTAACTGTTCATGGGGAGACAGCTACATAGGTAGAACGACTCAGTAAGCCCACTGTCGCCTTCTGGAGCATTGTTCAATGTGGTTAGGTAAAGGTGTCATAAAGTCAATCAGAAGTCACATATTGGTGCATCTAGTGAATACGGAGCACAAGGTTGACAAAAATTCAGCTTTTAAAATTCTATAGAGGATGCCGCCTCAACTCCCTAGGCTGGTACGTCTTCGGATACTGAGCGTAGATGAGAAAGTTACCGTAATGGTTTTTCAACCGAATCTCTGCGTCGAAGAATATTTGTTCAATCTTTCTCCCGCCTTTAGCCTTCTTTCCCAACCTAAAATAGTTATCTCTCTGGATGATACCTGATAATTGTAATTACTATCTTATTTGATTTTTATCTTATTTGTGTTGCTAACTGTATTATCAATATCATGCTGTGATGTAGTTGTACATTTTAATCTTTCTTTTACAACCTATTACTACAATATTATCTAATCGCTATGTGACAGTAGATATTTTCCACTCTACTCCTTCTAGTATGAACATTCTGCCTATACACTTGTCATTGCCTAGATTAGACAAAGACGTGAACGAATTGATCCCTGTTATCATTATGATCACCTGTAATATTATCCATTAATTAACATCCCTGAACTCTGATCCTATGTCTTATTAACCACATTAGTTCAAATGCCTATGAACAATACTTCCCTATGTGAATGTAAAGCCTGATGAGAATTTGTCGAAAATACTTATTAAACCATATTCTACGATAGGTTATCATTCGTTATTATTAGACATCATGGTTCCGAAAAAAAATATGGCTCCAACATTGTATCTTCAATTCATACTGTAATGCAGAGCTTCACGATTCCCATAAGCACTCATCTCCTCCTCACAAAATATATATTCAATACTGCACTCACACCAATAACCAACTCGTTACTCCATCCCCCTTCCAGTCCCACTCAACGCCCTCTATGCTGCATCATTTCACTCAACGTTCTTCTCAGCGTGTATCCCATCCGATTCCACTTTACTCGACATATGTGCTGGATAGTAAGTTCTCGGCCAGCTCGTTTCCAAACATCCTTGTGGCCAATCATTTCCAGTTATTTTATCTTATAATGTTGCTTGTCTGCAGTCTGTTGGGAGTGCTTTCCTTTGGGTGCGTGTCACATCTCTGAAGTATATAGAAGGAGTAACTTGGCATTAGTGTTGTTTCTTACGTTCAGTGAAGTAGATTTCCACAGTGAATTTGGATTATGGAAGGTCTGTCTTTCTCTTTCTATCTTGATTGTCTATGGTATCCTTCTTTTCAACGACTTCATTTTCAAGCTGTACAGTCGTATTTATATTACAGAAAAAGGTTATTAAGTGGCACTAATTAATTGCTCAGTCAATGTACGAATATGTGATAAAAGTTATAAGGGGTAGAGTTGAAGTGGGTAAATTACAAAAATATTAAAGATTGTTTCATAACAAAAATGTCAAGGGTTGTCTAAAAATTTTGAAAATTAGAAGTACGATTACGATAAGAATGAAGATGTGAAGTGAAGTGGAAAGAATTCAAGTGGTAAAATAAAATAAAAACTAGAAAGAACATTATTATGACCAAGGTAAAGAAAGGGGTTTGACAAAACGCTTTTGAACACATAATTTAGGTTTTTGTTCATGTATAGCTAAAGCTTCGGCTAGCTATGCATAAGTGAAGAAAACGTAAACTTTTGGATCGATTCGATTTTGCCATGTAGCCCATGCTAAATATTTATCATATACTTTTGTGTATACTTATGAGTAGTCTCTTGCTTTTCATAGAATTTATAGGCACAGACTGCCTAGTCTTTACTTGATGGCTGAGTATTTTTTTGTAACAAATACTCATTAGGTTCACTAATTAAAAGATAGTATCAGTCCCAAAGCTAAGAATGTTTATTACTTGTGAAGAGAATCACCATAAATAAAATATAAAGAGATACTCAGTATTAATATTATCGTTATTCACTTGGGTTCAGTCTGCAACATAGACCTTTAAAAGCACATTTCTACTCCGTTCTATTTTCTTCACAATTGCCCTTAATCTTTCACCTCAAACTCGCTAAACCATATCCTCCGTGTCACCCTTTAAGTGATGATCCACTCATCGGTTCTCATTCGGATTCGAATCGAGAGATAGCCTGCACTGTGTGCAATTTCATTCAACAACCTTCCCAGCGTAGGCCCGATCCATCTGTGTTTCTCCTACATATTTGTTGAGCAGTCAGTTCTTGGTTGGTTTGCTGCCACAGTTTCTTGTTGCTGATTCTTTCTAGCCGGTCATTCTGGTGGCCATTTGATCTTCACTATAGAGTGAGAGAAATGGGCTGCTGTTGATAAACATCTGCAGTGGCCTTTTGGAAATAGTTTGTGTGAAGCCTGAGCTAAATTTCTGTCACATGCAGAAGAAATCACTGACTTGACATTTTTTTTGAAATTGAAAAGCTTGTTGTTTGTGCTGAGTCAATGCAGAGGATCTCCGAATCGATTTCAGGTTGATGAAGGTTTATCTTGCTGTCCGATTCTGGCTGACTGGCTGGCTGGGTGGCTGGCTTTGACATATTCATCCGTTCCGACACTCAGTATACTATTGCTTTATACCAGTACTTGGAAACCGACCACGAGGAAGAATAGTTCTTGTAAGGCGCATTAAAACTGGTTTTTAGTTGAAGGATTTCATCATGAGCTCACATTAGTTGGAGAACCATTGGAAAACCTGGCAGTACTGCACATACAACTGTTTCGTCCTAGTTTGGGACTCTTCACAGTTCTCACCTTAACTAACCATGACTATGTCAGCTCATGATTAAATCCGCCAACCAATCAGACAAAATTCCCAATAAAACCAAAAGTTAACGCTAATTCTAGCTTAAAACAGTCGTATCGCTTGTTTCTCAGCTTTCTGTTAGGATTCAAGTGGTTTTAAGCGATTCAACAGACTGAGTTGAGTTATTCTGTCAACAGTATGGATGAGCTCGACTTAAGATGAGCAGAAGAGTCCTTCAGTGTTTAATTCCCTACGATATGTTTAGACTAACAAATACTACTAGTAAAAGTAATTAATTTCTAACTACTTATTTGGACCAGTAGTATATAGCATTATGTGATGTAGCTTGCATTCTTGATTAGTTTTCACAGGGCTTATTCTCACCTTGAACTGTGTACTGTGAAAATCATGACCATTAACTCACTCTGATTAGAATTCAATGAGCCATGAATTCTGCAGCTCATGAGAAGTTATGGGCAGTAGACTTCGTCATATCACATAGTGAGGTCGATAGTGGTCAAGGCCTTTGGTTGATGGGAGCGCTATACGGTGAATCAATGCAGTTAGAATTCACGGGTCCCTGAATCCCGGTTTAGACGGCTGAAAGGTCACCGAGAATGGTCTCTTATCCTAAAGCTCAGGGTTCAATTTCTGTTGTGGCCATGAGTGTAGACAGACAGTTAAAGGGTCCTGATTTAGTATCAAATGGTTGCCCAGTGATCCCTCCTTTTTGGTGTTCCCTCCAAATGATGCTGGTTCGTTAGGAAATCTAAATCCAAATAATTCTGTCAGAATTAGTTAATGAAAACCTCTTATTTTATGCGTATTCTCAGAGCTAATAAATATATATTTCAATGTCAAAATGCTAAAAGTACCTCTCTTCACACATTCGTTATTTTAGAATAAATTCCTTATTAATACTATTATTATTATTTCTGTTAATTTTATTCGAATATTTGGATAAAGGTAACAGTGAAGATATCGTCTGAAGTGGCAATCAAAGGTTTATCGTTTCTTTACCTCCCATCACCCAAAAGCAATAACAACACAGTCATCCATCTATACCGCAATTCGTCTGAAATAATGGAAAATCTTTTACATCAATTTTAAATAAGAAAGTAGTAAATTTTGCAGATGGTATTGACCAGAATACAGTTTACTCGGAAGTGTTAAACAAAAAATAATAATGACTTACGAGTCGATCATGGATTGATATCAGTGAGAGAACCATTGAAAATCAGGGAGTACTATACAGCTGTTTCGTCAGCCTAGTTTTAAAATCATCGGCAGTACTCACCCCCTGCTAGGGTTCGGACCCAGGAATTTCCGGTTACAAGGCAAGCTCGAAGAAACAAATCTAATCCTTATAAACCAACTACTGAAAATCAATCCGATGCTTGCTAGTGACCAGTTACATCATAGAGTTTCCTGCAGTTCTAGTGAGAAGTCGTCCCCTGTTAGTTCCATCCCGCCAAGTGTGAGGATTGATGTCCATCTGATAACACTGGTTGGTACCAGTTGTGCTATTATCACGAATTAGTAGAAGTTTCAAAAAATTCATGGACTGGAGACTGAGGAGTCAATTCCTAGTGGCTGAATGGTTTATCAGCTAGCTCGCTTTGTAACCGGAAGGTCCTGGGTAGGAACCCTATCGGTGGATGTGTACCGCTCAAGAGTCCCAAATTAGGACGAAATAGCTGTCCAGTACTTCCTAGATGGTTTTCAGTGATTTTTTCAATGATATCACATTCCGTAATCAACTCGTTAAAACAAATCTAATCCTTACAAATCAACTTTTGAAAATTAATGACTAACTCATTATAGATAAACAATAAGGGCAGATATTTCATAATCCAAATTCAGTGTGGAAATCTACTTCTCTGAACCTAAGGAACAAAATATGATTTCTCAACGCTAACGCCAGGTTACTCCTTCTATATGCTTCAGAGATGTGACACGCACCCAAAGGAAAGCACTCCCAACAGACTGCAGACAAGCAACATTATAAGATAAAATAACTGGAAATGATTGGCCACAAGGATGTTTGGAAACGAGCTGGCCGAGAACTTACTATCCAGCACATATGTCGAGTAAAGTGGAATCGGATGGGATACACGCTGAGAAGAACGTTGAGTGAAATGATGCAGCATAGAGGGCGTTGAGTGTGACTGGCAGGGGGATGAGTAACGAGTTGGTTATGGGTGTGAGGGTAGTATAGGATAGACCTTTTGAGGAGGAGATGAGAGCTTACTGGAACCATGGTGGACTGTAGATAGCAGTATGAATTGAAGATGCAATGTTGGAGCCATATTTTCTTTTCGGAACCATGAGGTGTAATAGCATTGACAGTTAGTCAGAATAGTAATAATTTTATTGCCCTTATGGAGGCTAGCAAATATTTTTCACTCATAGAGTTGCGGAAAATTGAAAAAAACAGGGAAATTTCCTATTGTTTCAACCTCAGATGTGTATTCCCTTTTTGGGAAGCATTATATATTTTCAAGTATTGGTTTTGTAGGGATTATGTTTGATTGCATGGAGGATTTCACCATGAGCCGACATCAATCAAAGAACCATTGGAAATCCTGGGAGTACTGGACAGCTGTTTCGTTCTAGTTTGGGACTCTTCAGTAGTACGTACCCAACGGAATTCGAACCCAGAACCTTCTGGTTACAAGGCGAGCTCGTAGACCACTGAGCCACTGGGACCGGATCCAAGGGTCCTTGAGTTCTAACTCCTGCCAATTCACGACATAGCGCGACCACTTCGCAATGTCTTCTTCGATGAGTTACTGCCTCATCTTCAACCTGCTGTACTCTACCGGTCACCGCTTCCCACTAGAACTGATATCAGCTCATGGTGAAATCCTCCATGTAATCGAAAAAATCCCCACAAAACTAATACTTGAAAATTATTCTGATGCTCACTAGTGACTGGCCCTATTCAGGCAGTTAACCTGGGGTTCCAGTGGGAAGCCGTGACCAGTAGCGTACAGCGGGTTGAAGATGAGGCAGTAACTCATCGAAAAAAACATTGCAAAATGGTTGCGCTATGTCGTGAATTCTCAGAGGTTAGAATTCAAGAACCATTGGATCGGGTCCCAGTGGCTCAGTGGTCTACGAGCTCGCCTTGTAACCAGAAGGTTCTGGTTTCGAACCCTGGCGGAGGGTGGGTGAGTACTGCTGAAGAGTCCCAAACTAGGACGAAACAGCTGTCCAGTACTCCAGGTTTTCCAGTGTTTCTTTAACTGATGTCAGCTCATGGTAAAATCCTCCAAGCATTATATATATATATATATATATATATATATATATATATATATATAGTATACCTTTAAAGATGTCACCTTCATGACATCAATTATGACATAGTGATTGGTTTTAATACATATTACAGTTTTTAATGACGATGTCAGTATGTCTGGAAAGCGCCGTTTTTCTTCTTCCAGTTTTACTTATGCACAATTTAAAGACTAAAATGCATTCCTATTCACATGATTCCAAAATAATTGTAGTCAGTAAGCTGGATTACAGCCATATTAACACATAGAGTGAAAAGGCTTTTAGTTGAATTATCCAGATTTGCTTGATAAATTTTTAAATCACGACTTTTAGAGAAATTCATTGGAATGAGTTCATCCTGACAATGAATTGAAAAGTTGAAAGGACCCCTCGACAGTTAAGTTACTCAATACGTTTCTACGGTACTCTGTCAAATTTGTGTTAGTGAATGCGAAAGTAACTTCTTTCAATTATTGTATGACAAATTCATTCAACAAAGGGGATGTATGTAATTGAGGTCTGATAAGGTGTGTGTGTGTGTGTGCGTGTCTGTGTGTCGCATCCCGCTTGAAACATCTCATCAAATCAGTGATTCATAGATTTTCATTTCAGTTATTTGATCCTTGTGGGATAAGTAACTCGTTATTTTTACCCTGTATAGAAAAGTACTTATATAACTCCAAATAGCTTGAAGCGAAGTACAGAACAAAATGATTGTCTGTCGTATCTTTGCGTGGAGAACATTGTCCGTAAGACAATTACTACTCAATGGGCCTAGTCTCATATATATTTTGTATATATTCGATGGTTAGCAATTATTGAAAGCATAACTCACAGATGTTGAAATATCAGGTTGAGCACCATGTTCCAGAAGTAGTCGAACACACTCTTTTTGGTTATTTTCACAGGCTAAATGTAATGGAGTGGTTTCGAATATATCCTAGAAAAAATATTTTATTTAAAAAATGGAATGAAACAATCAAAACTTCCTGATACATAAATATGTGAATGTGGTGAATGGGCATGGTTTGAGTAAAATTATGCAATATATATACATATATATTTCATATGTATTGTGAGGTGTTGCATTAGTCTTCTTTATGTGATCACAACGGGTACATTACCCCCCCCCCCCAGCTAAATATCACACACATATACATACATGCACTCACTGAAGGTTTCTAATGTTTCTAACATAATTTATTGTTCATAACCATATAGATTATAATCACACGAATTCAAAAGGACATGAGTTCCTTCAAGGCTGCGGATACATTCTGCTGACATTTACCCAAAAAAAACATGAAAAAAAACCAAAGTCCGAGTCTTCTAGTTGATTGCCTTGAATCAACTAACAACGATTCAGAGTGCACCATCATGACAACCTAACATGGCGGCCACATTGCAGTTCTGACTGACTGAATTCAATTTACACCAAACAAATTGCGCTAGTTACTACGAAATGTCCACTCAAAAAAACACTACTTTTATATGAAATGTGTAAATTTATTATTATTATTATTCCCTGGGGTTCCGAGTGGAATATGGGGCTTCAACAACACAACTCCACTTTGTCCTATCTTCTGCCATCCTCTTCAGCTTGGATCACGGTTGGCCACCCGTCCACCTTAGGACGACTCAGTCATCGCTTTCCATTGTGATCCCGATCGAGCTCTGACTTGCGAAGCGATTTCATTCGACTGTTCCCTCAATGTGTGCCCAATCTATCTCTATTTTCTACTACATATTCTTTGGCGATCACCTCTTGATTGGTTTGTTCCGTCAGTTTATTGTTACTTATCCCGTTTGGCCAGCCATTTGATAAGGTCTGCAGTAGCCTGTTGGGAATGCTTTATTTGACATGTTAGCCAAGTTTCAAACTCGTATAGAAGGACCGCATTCACATTTGTATTGAAAATTCGAATCTTGTTCCTTATGCTGAGCGAGCACAGAAGATCTCCAAATTGAATTCAGGTCGATGAAAGCGTATTTTGCTTTACTGATTCTGGCTGGCTGGATGACTGGCTTTGACAGCTTTATACATTCTGCCAATTGTGGTCAAAAGGATGCTCCCTAGATAGGTGAAGGAAGTAGCCTTTGTTAAATCTCTCCCGTTGATCGTGATTGCTGCTGGTTGTCGATCACCTGAATCATGTTATTCTCATAAAGCAAGTTGTTCAATGTCGCTGATAAAGACTTCGGCATTGCATGTCGTAGTGTTGAAGCAGTTTCCGTATTCCTTCTCGTCCAACGTTGTCCAAGGTTTTTCGAAGTCGATGAAGGGAGTTAAGGTAGGGAGAGATTTGACTGCCATTCTCTGCTTTGTTCCGTGATGATAATGTGTAGAGTTGCAGTTAGATTAGTGCATGACATGCCTTTCCTGAGTCCAGCTTGCTCTGATTGGCGGAGTTGTGTTTCTACTGCATCTTATATTCTTACCAGGATGATGTGATTTATTATTTTACTTGGCATAGACATGAGTATGATTCCACGCAAGTTCTTGCAAAGTCTTAGGTTGCACTTCTCTGCTAGCTTGACAACGTACCCTTTCTTCGAGTCATTAGGCACGTTACTTTCCTTCCAAGCCTTTTCAATAATGGTGTGAGCAACACTTACTCAGTCTCTGGGTCCGTTTTCAGTGTTTCGAAGAAATTCGGTTTGGTTCTGCTGTCTTACCGGATTTCATTCGCTAGACTGCATTCAAGATTCCTGTTTTAGGTGGAAGACTGATATCCATTGGTAGGCAGTTCTGTGCGTGCTTTTAGTGATATTTATGCGCAAGTTGTATATGATGGTCGACTTAAGAGTTCATTAAAGTGATCAGATCATTGTTTGTTTGTCTTTTTTCTTTGTTAATTAGGTTCCCTTCACCATCTCTTATTGGTTTCATCATCTGGGTTGATGTCTCCCTGGAAAGAAAGCTGGTTGTTTGATACAATGTCTTGAGATATCTTTTGCTTGCGGCTTTCTCTGCTTCATTTGCCGGCCAGTATGTCGTAGAATTGTCGTTCATGTTACCTAGCACTCTTCTTCACGTCTTTCTTCATTCAGTGCAGTGTGCATTGAACTCAGCTTCTGCCCCTGTTTTGTTGTCTTTCTTTGCATTCGGTCATATTCTCTTTCACCATCCTCCTTTCCTCTCTCCTATTAGCTTCCAGGTATGTGTCCGTTGAGAGCCATTCCTTGTTTTATCTGTTATTTCTTCCTAGAAGAGTTGTACACGTTTCCTTGAACACCACCTCCAGAGAGTCAGTATCAATGTTCTTCCATGCAGGTTTCCCCAGTGATGCCACGTAGTGTCTCTGAATTTACTCTGACCTGATCTGTATTGAAGGCATCCCTTGTAGTTTTGTCCTTCGGTTTCTGAATACTGAACTTGAATTGTAGCTTATATGAAGTTGTCCTAAAGATTCACCTTGAATGTTCCTAGAACTAGGTAATGGTCTGAGCCCGTATATGCTCCCTTGATCGACTTTGTGTTCGGCAGGCTGCACCTCCACTTTCCTCAGCAGCATTGAGATGAACTCTGTCTAGTTTGTGGTGTGTCCTTCAGGCGAAATCCACGTTGCTTTGTGTAGATCCTTGTGCTTGTACACACTGCCTCCAATCACCAGATCACTGAAAGCGCAGAATTCTGCGAATAAACATCCATTCTCACCCATTTCTTCGAGAGCCCCCCGACTCATGGTGGAGTCTCTTCCTGTATTAGCAGGTCCCAGTTTGGCGCTCATATCGTCCACGAGGATTTTGATGTCAGTATATTGGATGTTGTCCATTCCTGTTTGTAGTTATCTGTAAAACCCTTCCTTCTTCTCTCACATTTCATTGGCTACTTGCTCAGCCTTCCTAATCTCGTACATTGTACGGACATTCTACGAAGCCATTCTTATTCTTGCTTTAATCGAGAGTGACACATCGGCTGACTGACTGGCATCCCTAAGGCTTTTACTAGGTCGGATTATTTTGCCTCTCCGATTCCTAAGAAGAATACGATCTTTTTTTGAATTTTCTATATTTTTATTATATTTTTTGTTTATTTTATATTTTTGATTACAGCTTGATTCTACACAATGCCTTTTTTGATAGAAGTGTGAAATTTTCAGCATTTGATATAGGTAGCCCCAATTCCGCAGGCCGACCATAGATATCAGATGTGCTTCGGTAGGGGATCGAACTTCGGACCATGTGCATGGTTGTCGAGAGTCATAACTGCTGTGTGACCGACTGAATGAAGAGTTATAGCGTTGAAATGGATTATTAAAGCGAACCATTTATCGTTTATATATATATATATATATATATATATATATATATATATATATAACTTACCATTTCGTCGATTTTTTCTCTTAGTTTCTTCAAAGACAAGAGACATTCCAAGGTTTCAATGTGACCATTTTTAGAAGCTAAATGAAGTGCGTTCCTCGCATGCTAAAAACACGTAAAACATGGAGATTACGATCATGTTAGTTTCTTCATAACTATATAAAAGTCATAATCAGTTGATTACTCCATTCTCTATGGTTCAATGACAGAATGTTAACCACTCATGTACGTAGCCGCGAGTTCGACTTTCGTCTGACGATTTAATAAACTTTGTTGAGTTTAGTGTGGGGAATAGTAATCCCAGAAAAGGCGGAGAGTTGGGCATGAACCTAACAGGATAAAAAGTACCATTGCTACTGATATTTCAATAGTTAAAGTCGTCGAATGTTCGATTCAGAATGGAAACAACTGGAAGAATACATGCGCAATCAGCCAAGTAATATCTTTATTCACTGTAGAAAATGACTTCCAATCAAAGTTTGGGTTGGTAACAATATAGTTGCCATGGATAAATCGTATTTATTATTAGTAATGAATGATGCTCAGGATTTATTGAGTAGATCTGAAACCAATAGCAGCGCTTAAAATTTAACTTAAATGCGTACCTTTTAGTAGTAATCCAAATTCCTAACTGTCTGGACACACAGCCAACGCCATCACCATCGGAAATGCGGGGTAGGTTGTGCATTTACATATATTATAGATATATGTTATGACACTGGCAGCTACAACGACTGCTACAGCTCTAGAATAACCCCCTGAAACGCTGCTTCTCATGTTCAAGAACAATCGAGGAGCTTCTCAAGTAGGGACCCGAGTGCACTTGAGGCAGACTATACTGCCTCATAGAAACGGGATCCCGTTCCCCAGTCCATTTTGCAGTACATGAAACACCTCTTCTGACTAGTAGTCATGTCAGACGCCCTTCCAGCAATCCATCATAGGGTTACAAAGCCATCCACGGCCATCGCCTAGATGTGAGTCACAAGTTACAACGGTCCAAATCCTCTCGCTCAAATTTCCAAAGATCTCATGTCACCTGATGACCCGTGTACCTCATAAATCTAAAGGATTTCCTGGCCTATCCGCTCGAGTTGAGTAGCTGGACGCAGATGTTGTTTATGCTTGTGACAGATCTTAGTTCGGGAGGGGCTTACTGGTTTCCTCACCGGCGGTCGCCAAGTGGAGGCTTCTGTCGCGGGTGACTCATCTTTTGGTTTCTGCCATTACTCTTACCCAGCTGAGCCTATTTCTAGTTGATACTCAGAGTACCGAACGGAATGTTTCATCCAACCGAAATGACAATGTAGACAAACCGAGGCCATTGGCTTACATACGGACGCCAATACTAGAAAAGTACACGATGGTTACAGAGTATCAAGTCTATCATAGCATATGTCAAAAATCAGATGACGAGGAATTCGGCCACTTTACTAGAGTCATAGTTACTCTTGCGAAGGGAACTGTAATTATTCTGATTTATTGTTTAGTTCCAGATCCTAACTCTAGTTCACTGCCTAATCAATAATCATCTGGATAATGAATGTATTGTTCGTGAACATAAACACGAGTGTTTCAGTTCAAAATCATTGTTCAGCTAAGCATATCACATAACAAGAAAACAGAAAAGAAACTTCACACTTGAGATAGACACAAGGAGAGAAGACGAGTGAAGTTTTTTCATACAGTCTCATGAAAAATAAGTAGCTGAGTATCTAATAGTCAATCTATGGATATGTCACGAATATTCAGAAACTATTATCTCAAGAACTCTACTACCAAGCTATCTAAAACACTCTACTTTCTTGGCTTGGAAAAACATATGAAGGAGGTTACTCCTTTCACTTATGTAGACAGGAACTTTTCAACTGTAGGCGGCTCAGATCTGGACGATAAATTCTGCTTGGATCAGGAAAGCAAGAGAGATCTTAACAGATGCAGTTCTTTGGGGACAACACTAGCGAGATACTAACACAGCGCATTAGAAATGCGGTAAAACGAGCATTCCCTGCTGCTGAATTACGTTGTATCTTTAAAATCACTCCTCTTCTGCGTTCGGGAGCAAAAGACAAACTGCCTAATTTCGCCTCATCCATGTGTATCTACCAATTTAACTGCTCCTGTGGAGCCAGTTAGTTGCATAGGCCGCACAATTAGGCGTGTTTCTCGTTGAGTTTCCGAACATCATCCTGCGTGGTGGTTAAGCAAAGAACAAACAAAATCTATTCGCAGCGCTATTCTGTCGCATCTTTGGATACAGAACACAAGATTGACGTTAACCATGCTTTCAGGGTCACTTACCGCATACCTACCAACCTCAATTTTGCCTTAAGATTTCGACTACTAAATATTGCTGAGGGTGTGGGGATCCCCATTAACAAGCCTAATTTATGCATCCGAAAGCAGTTAGCTCAGACGTTATCATCACCTTGGCCATTTAGATTTGAATTATCCTGAATGTTTGTGGAGTTTCCTAATTTTAGTTGATATTCTATTCGTTATTATATCTTTATTACTATTATAATTTAAGCATCTTTAACGAACTGTAATTGCATTGATCATACTTTATAAATCGATATTATTTTTAAAAAAACACTAATATTTTTATTAATATTAATCTAGAATATTCTGTGTATATAAACATGCATATTTAATTGTAGAGCCAGAAGAGGAATTTATCGAAAAGAATATTTTTTGTTCGATTATTTCGTATTTTTATAGATGTCTGAATGAATATTTTGCTACATTTAGATCTTGACTTGTTTGAAATCGATCTGAAAATCTGCTACACTCAACATAAAAAAAACATCCGAATTTTCAACAGTAGTTTTAGGTGAGACAGTGCTTCCCATTGACTTAATGACTTGTCAAAATGAGTATTTTCACCAGGAGACTGCAGAATTTCATCAACAGCTACTCACTCCTAACTCTCGATACTGGAGATCAAGATGTTAACTGAAAAAGGTAAGAGTTAAGGAAGTGTGGCTACGAGTCAACTTGGAACGTATTTCTCAATGAATATATATATAGGAAGTGGAGGTAGATTGGATTTAATCTAAGGGGTTTTTACGTGATGGGTAGACCGTCCAGTGGAACCTGGGTGATAAGCCGCAAATAGGATGTGAGGCATAGGCTGACATGGAGGAGGTCGTGGCAGGGGTACATGAAAGCTTACCGAGGACTGTGTAGACGGCTTAAAAAAGACAGTGGAGTTCAGAGGGTAATGCATATGGACTATTGAAGTCATATTTTCCATAAGAAACTCAATAGAACAGCAAGAATATCGCTATAATTGATGTTGAAACAATCTGACATTGTTTTGAGTTAGTGGGTTAGTTGGTATAATAGATGGTTGTGGTGAGAGCTGCCTGCTAGCCAAATTTGGCAGACAGCAATTTACATCCGTGTTTACGTACCAAATCTTGGTCATCAGAAAAAAACAAAACAAGGTCTAGCCTTGAGAAACTCAACAACCAATCACAGCAGGATTTGCGTGGGTGGATAAGATTCGCAGATATATGGTCTGACCTTTAAAGAAACGACCACGAAGAGATGACAGGAAAACAACCAATCAGAAGACTGTGTTTCTTCCCTGATATTAACGAATAATATTGTACGTAAAAATATATAAATATGTGTTGGTCTCCTCAATAAACCGTCTGTTGACTGGCCCTTGTCTTCTGTCATACATGGTGACCGAAGGTGAAATAAATGTTTGACTTAACGATTAAACTCACACCTCTGAATTACTATCTCACAGACCTACCAGGTGAGCAACAAAACTCAGCGGCCAAAACAGGTGAATTTATATTCACCAACCTCAAATGTTTTCGAACTCAATCTAATATCGGTTTATCTGATCATCAGGGAAGTTTATGGCTCTGGCATCGTAGCTATCTAAGTCGACTCTTCTTCACAACTTTATTGATTAATTTCTCCCTGCTTGGCTTATATCAATACTACTCACATGAATACACCTCTTAACACACTAGCCTGGTCATCTGATGGGTGAAATCTTTCTTCAGTAATACACCATCCTAAAATTATGCACTTTCGGGCCTACTCATCTTCCTCTAACTTCATCCCTTCTCAAAATAATTATAAAGCCATATTATGAATAATTAACTGACTATTGAAAACCAGGGAGTACTGGACAGCTGCTGTCTCATCCTAGTTTGGGAATCATCGCCAGTACGCACCCACTGCCAAGGGCCAGCAAGCTCGTATACCATTCAGCCACTGGGACCCGACTCCTCAATGGCCATCGCATGAATTCTAACTTCTACCAATTCGTGATTTAGAGCGACCCCAACCATTGTCGTTGGTGGGACATCCATCCACACACGTGAAATCTAATTGGACCTTACTGGTCACGAATTCTCACTAGAACTCAGGAAACTCCAACCTGTAGTAAGTAACTAGTGAGCATCAGATTAATTTTCTATAGTTTGGTTTGTAAGGGTTTGTTATGTTTTTACGAGTAACTTACTACAGGTTGGAGTTTCCTGAGTTCTAGTGAGAATTCGTGACCAGTAAGGTCCAATTAGATTCACGTGTGTGGATGGATGTCCCACCAACGACAATGGTTGGGGTCGCTCTAAATCACGAATTAGTAGAAGTTAGAATTCATGCGATGGCCATTGAGGAGTCGGGTCCCAGTGGCTGAATGGTATACGAGCTTGCTTGCCTTGTCACCGGAAGGTCCTGTGTTCGAATCCTGGCAGTGGGTGCGTACTGCGATGATTCCCAAACTAGGATGAAACAGCAGCTGTCCAGTACTCCCTGGTTTTCAATGGCTATCTAACTGATGTCAATCCGTGATCAACTCGTAAAAACATAACAAACCCTTACAAAGCAAACTATAGAAAATTAACAGACTAATTCAGAGAAGAAGAAAGGCATTCATTCTGTAGACTCACCATATTCTTTTTTAATGTATTACATTTTCGTTTAATAAGTATTTCAATCAGACGTAAATTTCCTTTTGATGCAGCAATCAAAAATGGAGTCATTCCATTCTGAATAGAAAAAAATTGAAAATGATTTGAAAAGATGGTTCATTGTAATGTGAGGAGTAACATTTGTTATATTTGAACCTTTCTAAACTGAATTTCTTACAGTTCATTACACATAAGCACTGCTAATAAAGCTGCGTTAATGTCTTGTCCGGCTTTTTGAACATTTTTATAGTAGAAGTTCAATTGTGGTGGAAACAAACAAAGAGAAATTAAAACGACAAGCAGTTAATTTTACAGCGTTTCTGTTCTAATTTAGGGTTATCGAGTATCTTGCATTAAATGTTCTACATGTAATAAAGCATAGGAAAGTTAACATACAAAAGACTGCCGTTCATGATCATTTTTCAAGTCAATCAAGTCCCCTGCATACTGACACTTGAAAATTAGTCTTGTGTTTACTAGTGACTGATAACAGGATAAAATTAACATGCTTACTGGTTCAGAATTCATGAACAATGGTGTCGAGGGAAATTGGGTTTGAGGAAAAAAGACTTATCGATGACTTTAGCTGGCTGCATATTGTAAACTGGCAGCAGTTGGAATGGATTTGCTAGCCACTGGATTCCATCCCAGTGAAGTCGTCGGTATGTACTCCTGAGTAGTCTGAAAATAGGACAAACCAGCTGTGGAACACTCTTTGCCGGTTTTCAATAGTTGTTTTTTGATTGAAATCAGTTCGTGAACAGACTTGAATGCAAACATTAGGTTGAAGACTAGATAACTCAATGATTTCACATAACTCGAATAGCGACAAGGCCTAACTATGACTCTGTGGTTATCTGTGGATATTTTTCTTCATTCTAAATTTCTGTAGGCTTCACAGATTACGAAATTCCTGTTAAAAATTTTGCAGACTTTTAATTTTGAATAGATTTACGATCGGAGCCGGTAAATAATAAGCAAATCTAATTGAAATTAAGTCAGATAAAACACCACAGGATTTAATAAGGAAAAGTGATTGATTCTTTAAGTGATTCAAATCAGAATCCTGTGGCGTAAATATGATTGTTCCCTTGGGTCTCGAGTGGAAAACAGGACAACAACACACACCTCTACTTTGGTCTGTTATTTGTGGTCCTCTTAAGCTGGGTTCACGACTGGCTGTGAGCTGTTATCCTCTTATCACACGATAACCTCCACGGCACTCCCGGGCCAATAACTAGCTTGTCATTTCCACGATATGCCCGCCGCATGAAGTCATTTGACGGTCTCCTCAACGTGTTTCCGAACCATCACCATTTTTTGTTTGACAAATTTGTCGCGTATTAGGTCGTCGGTTGGCTTGTTAACAAAATCCTTGTCGCGTATTCCTTCTCCACTATCATTGAGAGAAGACGGCTGTTGATAAAAGTCTGCATTGGCCTATCTGAAATGCTGCCGCTCACACGTCAAGTCTCTGAATCAGATAGAAGTATTAACTGACTTCACAATGGTGTTGAAAATTCGAATTTTATCCTCTACATTGAATGCATGAGACTTCCACAGTGATTTCAGAATGATGAGTGTCTGCCTTGCCTTACGGATGCTGCCTGGCTTTGACATTCTTAATGGTGTTGACTATCTGTATTTGAAGTGATGTCTTCTGGATAAGTGGAGAAAGTGACCTCTGTCGAATTTCTTCCGTTGATGGTGAGTGGCGCTGCTTGTTGTTGATGTTGGTTGGTTGGTTATCTTTATCCCCTTTGTCGTCTCTATGTTCCCCTGGAGCGCTGCCTTAGCTGTCTGTCTTCTTCGCCAGTTTTTTAGTTTACGCCTATAAGCCTTCAAGTATATGTGTGAGAATAAATTTAAATCACTGCAGAAATGGAGATCTTCCAGAGTATTTTTACTGATCAATGCAGCGTTTTCCTATCTTCTCGTTCCCAACAATCTGATGCATAATCCAGTCCACGACAATTAGGAATATCATTGGTGATAGCAGGCAACTTTATCCTACGCCCATATTTACCTCAAAATCCTCGGTGAGTTCTCAGTTGTGGATAACCTGATATGTGAAATCATAATATAGCCAGCTGTCGAATGAGTGTAATAAAGATTGAACGGCACTGCTCGCCATAGATTTGAGGCAGTTTCTAGGTTAATTCTCTGTCACTGCTGTCGAAAACCTTTTCGAAGTCAATAAAATTGAGGTACAGGTTTGACTGCTATTCTGTGCTGTATTCGATGATGATCCTCAGAGCGGAAACTTAATCTGCATGTGATTTGCGTTGTTCTGGTCGAACTTCTACATCCAGTGCATCTTTTATTCTCCTCAGATGACGCGGCTCAGTACCTGGTGTGGTTTAGGGGGTTATTCGTCACCAGTTCTTACAGAGTCTGAAGTTGCTCTTTCCTGGTAGTTTGACAACGTATCTTTCGTTTCTCTCGTACGTTTTGCGGCAGTAAGTCAGAATAACACAACAGTGTTGTATTCATGGCAAATTCGAACTAAACTAAACTGAAACCTCTTATATAATGTCACACGGATATATATATATATATATATATATATATACAGTTCCCTGAATATGCGTAGACACAATGATCCAATAAAATTCGTATTGTCAATCAATTTCTTTTATTATATACCGTGAGACATATGTTGATATTGATTTTACGGAGGGAATGGTGGGTTTCCAACCTCAAGTATCACAACCTACCACCTTCTCCATATTTACATTCGATTTTGGTCGCAACAAACAGCATATCGGCCGACAGACGGGAACCAACTTAGCTGCAGGATGGGCTCTGGCGGGACAAGTACTCGCTCTTCTGATGAGTTGTGCTGCATAATTTTCACCTTTTGAAATTACCTTAAATGAAGACAGGCATTTTTCCCACTGTGATTTGTTTGAGATTTTGGGCTTTCACATCTTCCATATTAGCTAATGAATCTCTGAGAGTGACCGTTGCTTTTGAACGTCTTCTTGAGAATCATAAATTAATCCTCCAGTTCCTCTTTAGAGTATTTTCTCCTAGCTCTATAGTGCAGAGTCTTGACTAATACTTGGTTATAGCTATTTCTGCAAAAAATACTAAAATGTAGGTACTGTCCATTCTATCGTGAATTGACCTCTGGAGACTTCCACTTTCCAGGCACTGCATGGCATTGTCGAGGAAATGAAACTTTCCATCATTTTCATGTTCCATAGTATTTGTATGTACCACGAATTATGAGTAATCCGAGCAGGTAGGAGGCATGACTTTGTTTGTTGCACACTACAAATATGTCATCAGCTTATCGAAAATAAGAAGTGAATAAGCAAGTTACTACAAATAATGCTATGAACTTATATAAAACGTTCATGTTTCACGTCTTTACACACTCTCTCTCTCATTTGGTTACGTAATCTCCGGCTTTAACCTCAGCTCTCCCTTTGATGTAATGTAATTTTGCTTGTCTCTTGTTTCTATCATTTGAGTTGAATTCAATACATTGTTATCCAATTTATTAGTCGCTCTGCATCTTACTTGCCTCTAGTCTCCATTACGTAACTCCTTTACCATTGTATGCATACATTTATTCTGTTTAAACTTCAGCTCCCTGTGTAAAAACTATATAAGCGCAATTGTCTGAGCACTGTTAATTAAATTCGGAACGTACTATCAAGTGACACCATGTAAAACTTGCAAGCATTTTCAAAATTTTCTGTACAAAAACTTAATAATAGTTCATTTAGTCTGTAAGTAGCTGATGAGAAGGCAACGAAATAAATGATAATGTCATCTTATTCTGCACAAACCGCTGTTATTCTAGCTTTGTTCATATGTATTATTGTCGGAATGTTGAACTGCAGTCACCTAAGCAGGCCTTAATGTTTCAATCAGTAAATATTATTACAATATATTTCCTTTTTATCGATTTCAGTATACTTAGACAATTTCTTTTGAAGCATAACTTCCATTTAACTAATTAATTAGTGACCTGAAAGGTTCTGAGTTCCAACTCCGGTGAAATGATAGTTGTGAGTGTCAGTGAAGAGTCTGAAAGCGACCCTAAAGTAATCCCTGTGTTGATTAATTAATGCTTCTCTGACTGACATGCTAGTCTGTGATGAAATCCTACATCGTATGAACTTCAGAAAGTTTTGCTAAACTAAAAGAAATCAATAAAAGAAAGATTGTTGTGTAATATATTATTATTGTTCCCTTGAGTTCCTAGTGGAACATAGGGCTTCAACTGCACGTCTCCACTTGCTTCTGTCTTCCTTCTGTTGTACTTTTCACTTGCATCCATCTTAGTCCATGCTCTTTCAACTCCTCTTCACACAATCTCCTCCATGTCACCCTTGCACTGACGTCCCACTCGCTGCTTCCCTTTTGGCCTGGTTCCACTCGGGCGATGGCCTGATGCGCGATGTCACCCAGCGGCCTCCTCAGCGAGTATCCGATCCATCTACACTTTCTCCTGCATATTTGTTGGCTGGCAATTGGTTCTTGTTTTGTTTGTTCCTTCCCATAGTTTCTTGTTGGTGATTCTTTCCGGCCCGGCCATCTGATCTTCAGCATAGAGCGGAGACAGTTGTTGGTTGATAAAGGTCTGTAACAGGTTGTTGGAAATATTCTTTGTTACCCACCCGTCAAGTTTCTAATCCGTATAGGAGAACTGACTGACTTGATGTTTGTATTGAATCTTGTTGTTGATTCTGAGTGACGAAGATTTCCAGATTGGTTGTTTCAGGTTGATGGGTGTGTTTCTCGCCTTTTCGATTCTCTCTCGATTTGACATCCTCGTCCGTTCCTCCTCCTGTAATTGAAACAATGCTCCCCAGATAAGTGAACGAAGTAACTAACCTCTTTCAAATACCTCCCGTTGATGATGATTGGCGCTGGATGTTGCTACTGTTGTTGTTGATGGTTGGTTGTTTTCATAACATCTGTCTTGTCTATGTTCACCTGGAGTCCTGTCTTCACCGGCTGCTTCTTCGTCCAGTTTGTCGGTTTTCACTTGTAAGTTTTCGATTTTATGTGACATCAAACATAAATCATCCACTAGCGAAATTTAGGTCTTCTAGGTCTTTCACTTCGGTCTTTCCAGGATATTCCTGTCTTTTCGTTTCCCACTCACTGTGTGACGTATAATCCAGTCCACCAAACGACTCGCTGAGTTTTACGTTGTGGATGACTTGACATGTGCCGCCGTTGTCGTGCAGCTGTTGAATAAGGTTGATGGATATTTGTGGTACGCCTTAGTACTCGAGTAGTTTCCAAATTACTTTGAGGTCAGCACTGTCGAAGGCCTTCTCAAAGTCTATAAAGTTGAGCTAGGGTTTGATTTCCATTCCATTGCTTAAAACATGGCACTGTGGTAGTATGTAATACCATATTAATTATTTCTTTTAGATATAGCACACAGTCAAACAGTATTACTCATTTATTTACTGGATGACGAAGTTTCAAACACAATTTTATTGATTGTTCATAACTGTAGCAATAATTATAGCTAAACAACTTCGAGACTTCTGCTACGTAGGTTTCTTTACTGTTTCCAGCTCATCATCGAGATAGCAGAATTTTCTAGAAGTCCTGGTGGAGAGGTGTTGAACCATCCCTATTTCACGTGTTTACAGTTTGCTTCGATAAATAAAACTTGCGTTATCAATAATTCCAATACGAAGAACTTTAATTTAGAACAAAAGCACCACTAGAAGATATAAGACTAGGAGTGCAGCTATGCTTGACTTTCACAGTATTCAGATTCCAAGAGAGAATACACCGACAAACTGAGGGAGCCTCCGTGGGCATTAAAACTCACAAAGTCAATTAGAAGCAAACTTTGTCAGTTAAACGATTCTGTGGAGTCAATTGAACAAAACAGTTTAGTTCATCTAATATCCCACCTGCAATAAGTGTCAGGTAAAATATATAGGTCAAAGTAGTAGAACGGCATCAGTCAGTCACTCAGTCAGTCAGTCAGTCAGACTAACGGAGCATGAAAGCCTAGCAGCAGAATCTAGATAAGTTGACTCGAATAAGATAAGAAACCTGTAGAAGGCGAAGTTAAACATTCAACACCACTAACTACCAATCAGCGAATTATCCAATGAGATTCATGAACGATGTGAAATTATCCAATGAGGTTCACGGATGTAGTTCAATGTTGTATAGCGCTTGATTCATTTGAAATGCGTGCCCTTACAAGGTTACGGAGGATACTGTATTGCAGTATTGACTGGATTTAGGGTTGCTCCGGAAGGAGCGAACTTGTTCGTGTGGTGGTATCATGACTTAAAAAAGCTATAATACATACGGACGAATGGAAGGGTTATAATTCCCTGTCATCTTTGGGATATATCCATCATAGAGTCAATCATTCAAGTGATTTTGTGGATCCCGTTACGAGAACGCATACAAATTCCATTGAAGGATTTTGGGGCAGGTTGAAAAATAGGATAAGAGCTATTAATGGATCTCAAAAGGAACTCATTTACAGTCATTTAGATGAATATATGTACAGAATATGGTGTAACTTCTCCATTGACAGTCCCATGCTAAACTGGGAGATGTTTCTGTCTCATGTTCGAGAAAGATATCCCATGTAACTATTTTATTATCTATTTTATGCTTTTTTTTCTATAAATATAAATTTCTATTCATAATTTATGCCTCTTTACTGTGATTGGTCCGTTCAAGGTCGTTTGGTGATTGGATGTTGGTGGTGTCGAAAGTTTAACTTTGCCCTGTAGAACTTCATGCAATTATACACAACCACACAATACGATGAGGTAGGATAAGATGATATTTGTAAAATCTAATGTAAAAGTGTGGAAGGAGATCTAGATATAAGCGAAGGTTTATTCATCGAATCAACTACAAACACTTGTAATTGGTATAAGAATAAAACTTGTGCACTATCGTAAAGTGTAATTCCATAATGGGTAACTTTTGTTTTGATTAAGCCTAACAGTGTTATACAGTATTGTTTACTGATTACGTTTACAGCCCAATTTAGTGCTTATAATCACATCAAGACACTACTAACACAACTTTCTAACTTCATTTATATAGTTCCATTATTTTCCACTTGATTTGATTGGTGGTAGTATTTTCGATATTTCCGGTATGAGTGATGAGTCATTGCATTCTATTGCACGTGTTAGGTGTAAACTCGATGAACAAGGATTAAGAAATCAAACTCTCTTTCTCTACACCTACCTAGATTACTTCTTAGAATTTTAACCCTCTCCCACTCTACTGTGTGGTTGTGTGGAAATGCGTGGAGTGCAATTATTTGACTTTTCTCCATCTTTCTAACCTTCACTAAATTCTTATATTCTGAAAATCTAACTAGCCTTATCTACTAGTTTGACCTAATAGGGATAACATAAATAAGAAAGAATTTAAGGCACTTTCAATAGTTCTACCATATACGGAGGGGACATTTGAGACCCTACGTGGTAGGATTCTCAATTAAGCAGGAATTAGGTTAGTGGCATTTACACCTTCAAACTCACTCAGCTAGAACAAGCTCTGTAGGTTAAAGTACCCAATTGACCCATTTAGACAAAATAATATAATTTACAAAATAACATGCAATGAATGCAAGTGAGGTCAACTACATAGGTCAAACTAGTAGGTCAGGGGTAGCAGATTGTCAGAACATAAGGTGAGAACGGTAGACCATGAGAAGGTAAGTAATTTAGAAAAAAGCTCAGCAATTTCAATCCATGCATTAACACACAACTACACAATAGGGTGGGAGTGAGTTAAAATTCTAAAAGGTAATCTAGGTAGGTGGAAAGAGAGAGAGGTTGGTTACTGAATCGTTGTTCATCGAGTCTACACCTAACACATGCAATAGGAATGAGTCATCACTCATACCCGAAATATGTAAAATACTACTACCAATCAAATCAAGTGAAAATCAAATGAAAAATAATGGAACTATATAAATGAAGTTAGGAAGTCGTGTTAGTAGTGTCTTGATATGATCATTAGCAGCAATAAATTGTACTTGGAACGTGGTCATCAGTAAACATTACTGTATAACACTGTGAGACTTTATCAAAACAAAATTTACTTGTAATAGGAATGATTCAGCACCAGACCATCCGGACATCTGGAAATGTCTACTACCTCTACGACGACAAATAGTAAGGAGTAAAGTAAACTATGCAGCGGATGTCTTGAACTAGTGTAGTTATAATTGATATTACGATTATGAACATTAAATAAATTGTCATCGTCCAGTAAATAATCCTGTTTCACTCACTGTGTGATGCATCTATCTAATAAACAAATTAATATGGAATAAAAGAAGAAAGTCGCCAAAAATATATTTGGTTATTTCACTTACATTGTCTGATAGGTCATAATCTAGGAGTTGGAATTTTTTGTACAAACATTTCAAGATTGAGATTGCATTGGATTCAGCTATGAAATGCATAATTGTAAAGCCTTGCTGTCAATCATTGTTTAATTGTTATAGTGATGTTTTGCATTTGAAGAAAACGTAGAAAACAAAAGAAAAGAAAAAAAGTAAAAATTATTGATTATGGTATAGAAATTCGATGAAGAAAATAGCTAAACATTATTCTTCAATACACCTGTGCTCCTTTATCATGTGTAGAAACGATGTTTTCAAGTATTCTTTGGAGGATTTCATCATGAGCTGACATCAGGTAGAGAACCTTTAGAAAACCTGGAAGTACTGAACAGCCCTAGTCTCTTGGGGCTCCTCATCAGTACACATCCATCACAGGGGTTCGAACCCAGGACCCTCGCAGACTATTGAGTTACTAAGACCTGATCCTAGGGTTCTGGTAGGAAGCCGTAACCAGTGCGGTAGAACAGGTTGAAGGCGGGGCAGTGACTCATCGAAGAAGACATTGCAAAATGGTTGCGTTATGTCGTGAATTGGCAGAAGTTAGAATCCATAGGTTGGGCATTGAATTGTGTCCCAGTGGCTAATGAATGGTCTACGAGCCCACTGGCCTTGTAATCAGAAGGTCATGGATTCACACCCATGTGGTAGGTGCATACTGATGAGGAGTCCCAAACTAGGACGAAACAGCTGGCTGTCCAGTTCTACCAGGTTTTCCAATGGTTCTCTAACTGATTTCAGCTTATGATGAAATCCTTCAACCAATTAACAACATTTAACAGAGTCAAAGCTGATCATCTGTTTGAACTGGATTACGACTAAAAATAGGTAGTATGATTGGTGATCAGTAATGTTGATTGATTGTTTTTAGATATGAAATATGAATCAGAATCCAGTTGGACATTTCGCGGACTTATTCAAACAATCGTAGACTCCTTGTTAACCACGCCTAATATTGTTCAAGGTCCTATTTCCGGCCAGCGCACTACTACACTTTCGCTGGAGAGTAGTAGGTCCATTAAAGACATAAAGTTGGGCAACAGGCTAAAAAACCCACCCCGAAAACAAAATAAACACTACTGTCCCATTGTCCACTCAGGATACAAAGGAATAATCGAGAAGATTTGTAGCTCAGGTGGGTGATTTTGATGTGGTTGAGCTCTCTGAGCTGGATAGTTAATTTGCGAAGCTTTTATTTCCCTACTAGGCAACATCTTCAGCGCATACTTCAGTTTGTTGAAGTGGGCTTTTGGATTTCTCCAATAATTTGTCAGTCATCTTTCCAGATGACCTTCAAGGTGATCAATTGTTTTTTTGTGTTTTCACTGGAATGCCAGGCTGATATTCCAGTGAGTTATCAATCGATAGACACATAGAGATAGACAAAATTTATCAGCCAATAAGGACGAAATCTCGCACACAAATGGTCGAAGCTCAAGTCAAAGAATGAATCATTTCCAATACAAGTGATCAAGAGGGTGTGAAAACACACAAAAATAACCAATCACGTCCAAAGTCACCCACCAGGATAGATGAATAATAAACTCGTGGAGAAATCTAAAAGCTCACTTCAACAAACTGAAGTATGCTCTGAAGATGTTGTGTAGTAGGGCGATGAAAGCTTCACAAGTTAAATTTTTCAGCTCAGAGAACCCAAACACATCAAAAACAAAGGAATAATAACCAAATCAATTAGACAGTCATTCTTATACCATTATTTTAGTTTAATTCCTCTAATTACTAACTTGACATTAAAATTTCAGTTAAGCATTTAAAATGCCGCGCTTCTGGTATATTTTACATCTGAGCTAAGTATACGGTGCTTGTGGAAGCAAACAACAGTTGTGCCTGATATATTAACCTAATTTTCCTAAAGTACTACATGCACCTTTACATTGCTGGTTGTATTTCCCTCATTCCAGCAGTTAACTTGAAATCCTATTGGTGTTTGATTGTTTTAATTTATCAATGTAATTAGTATCTCTCAAGGTCATCTAAAGCAATATATATATATATATATATATATACTGAAGCGCTGTCACTCAGATCCACTGTTGAAAAGAGACAATAAAAGCTCTCCACGTCAACAATCTGTTTTCTCTACCTGTCTTCTTGCGTCGTTTTTTTCGGTGGAGTCGTCTCGTGTTGTCGTTTCCTCTTCTTGTTTTTAATAGTGGTTAGAACAGTAGGCTCGCGAATCGACAAGGTAGGGAATGTATTTATGCAATTACTAAGTGTGTTAACGGTCATATCAGCGTCTTTTTTTATGATTGTTCTATCAGACTACTTAACAAGAATGTTTTTATTTTGAAACGGGGCAGTAGGTGCTCAATAAATGAAGAGTCTCAAGCCGGGATAAAACAAGTGTCCAGTTCCTTCTGGTCTACAAGGGCTTGTCAAACGATGTCACTTCACCTTCTTAACCGAAACGAACATTTTTATTCATCAATCCTAGAAATATTTTTAACCTAGTTTTCTATCTGCATGCCTAAGCCAGTATAGTCCAAATAAAAAGTATGCGTTCAACTAATCAACAGTAAGTATCATGAGCTAAATATAAGTTTTATCAACCTTTTACAAGTGACCTAGACATTTGATTGGAAGTTAACTGCAGCGTTTATTTAAAGTTTAAGAATTTTATTAAATTGAAAGTATCACAAAATTTTTTTGAATTGAATTAAAGTACTATATAAATAATCGATAAATCAATTAGATGAATCAGTTATTTTTTTTTCAATTTTGTAAGTGGCCTAATTATGTAGCTTTTGTTTTCAGCCTTTAGAATTCTGTATAAGTTCTTCTGTCTTTGTTTGATAATGGTTACTTCTGAAAAATGCGTATTTTTTTGATGTGAACTCTTTATTTTAACAATGAACCTTTAGTTAGAACAATTGGTATAATTTTCTAATTCCGTTTCCTAAATCTTATTTTTAAAAATATTTATTACTTCTATGTTCTAGCCATGTTAGTTTCATATTTGAGGGCGTTTTGTTCCATCTGGTTGATGGTGTTGCTGTGGTGAGTCCGTTGGGGCGCCTTTTGGTAGATATCTATATGTCGTACATTTAGCGTTTATCAAAAGAATTATTCGAAAATCTATCGCTCTATAGAACGTATGTCAATGACAACATTGTAATTATAAGTGACAAGTCTTGAATGAATGAAGTTCAGAATAGAATATTATTTATGTCTGTAGAAGAGAAAGACAACTGTTAATCTTCCCTAAACATATTACTGGCTTCAGAGCATATTCCTAAATGGCTTCAGAACTAAACTGAATCTCCAGAGCCCATTAATAGTGAGAACAGACGACGATCTAGCTCCTCTATTGCATAACATATTATAGAGACAAGACATAAAACTGATATTCACACACGCCTTTAAAATCTATCTATAAAACGTGCTTGGGGCGTATCCTAAAGTTTGTGGAAGACCTAGCTGCCAAATAGGAAGTTCAAAACCACATGTATTCCTTCAAAAACAATTTGTCATCACAATACGCCTTCCATGGTGAATTTCTTTATTTTCTTACCAGCCTGGGTAGATGTAGTGTGGTAAGAGCTAGCTGCCAGCAAAAAATCGTAGACAGCCATTTACATCTATATTTACGTCCCGAATCGGGGTCATGAGAAAAAACCCTTAACAAAGCTTGAACTTGAGGAACTCACCAACCAATCACAACCGACTTAACGTGCGCGAATACGATTTGCAGATATATGGCTTAACTTTCTGAGAAAGTGTCACAAGCAGTACAGAATAACCTTGAGCAAGAAAACAACCAATCAGAAATCTCCGCCGACAATAGTGTACATAAAAATCTATAAGCATCTGTTGATTTTCTCAACATAGGGTCTGTTGTCTGGCTTTTGTCTTCTGTCGTTACAGTACTATTACCTCCTTTCTTTGGTCAAGTGGTCTGCACTGTTATTTTGACCCTCTGTATAGCCTTTTAACGTGACCTAAGTCTGTTTCTTCACCTCTTAACGGTATATTATTTCCACATATTTATATATTCTTATGACAAGTCCGTGTGTGTTATCAGATTGTTCTAAATGTGTTGCAAAAATACATTATGTGAATCTGTTGAATTTCGTCTCCTTTTTTATTGCTTTGTCAGTATTCGTATAGTCAACAGTGACCTTCACAGACAACCAGTCATTTTTATGATCATCAGAAGCCATAAATATTTTGTCAACATAGCTCATTTTATATTGTAGTCGTATAGGTTGGTAACAGCTGTTTGAAATATCCAACTCTGTCTGTCTGTCTGTTTTCGACATAGAACTTTGCACATATGTGCGACAGTTCAAGTCGCCACACTCCCCACATGTACCACACAAAGCCAGAGAAGAAAGTAGAAGAAATGCATAATAGAGACAGTAAACAGAGGTGTGAGAAAAAAGGATTGGTAGTAACGAAGAACAAAACAGTTTCATTGGAAATCATAAGTCACAAGGAGTGGATGGATCTGCGCCGCTGAGAACGATTTTGAGCCATGTCACCAATTGTTTGCAACCGTCATTGGTTTTTACCGTCCCGAGGACCTCAACCTGGAAGTCTGCAACTTTCTTACGTGGCTGCCTTAAACTAACTGTTGTAGATTTCATTGACTGGTGAAGCCATGTTTTGGTTTAACTTCCACTAGCTCTTTTCTAGCCTGACCCTATATCAGCTAACATTGTCCGTCGAGTAAGGCAATGACTAGGCATGCATACGTAGCACATGTTGTAACCATCTCAGTCAATGTAACCTCACAACGTCGTCGATTGATTTCCCCCGCTTACCTAGCACTCAATGCCTAACCTCAATATTGCTCATTCTATTACACCTACCACTTCACACGGGAGATAGAACGCAGGCACCTTTGATCAAAGACAGCTAATCTTTTCATGTATTCCACTCTCAATGGCCAGGTCTCACAGCTGGCCATAAAGAAGGACGGAGTGGACTGATGAGCAGTACACCAGCCCTTTGGTTGATAGTCAGATATCACGTCTACGCCAGAGACGGCGTTAACTGGCATATGCGAAACTAGCCCTCTGTATCCGTGCTGAGATTTCGTCAGAGATCAACCCGTTGGCATTGGCTGATGGTACTTCCCAAATAAATGAGGCGGTCAACGTGCCCTGCCACTTCATTCCCTATTTCTAAACTAGGAGTCAGTGTAGTCCAGTCCTGTAACATCATCTTGCATTTGACGGGAGCGAATCGCGTGCCAAACCTTCATAGATTGCAGCTCAAGGTGTTTAGAAGACTCCAATTCAGTGAATACAAGAACACTAAAAGTGCATCTCAGATAGGCTATAAATCTTTTGCATAAATATAAAATTGTCACCTCGCTTTACCTTTGTATGTCGATTGTGTTTAGCTCCAGCATCGAGTAAATAATGTGCCACATGTCTATGATTATTGTATACTGCCCAAAATAATGGAGTAATACCAAACTAAAAAAAAAGTTAAAAAAATCATTGAAAATAAATCACACAAAAATACAAACTGTAGTGTTTTATTAACAGAAAAAATTTTTGCTTTTTATCTCACGTTTTTATTTCAACAACCTTAAGCAATTTATTAGCACGCATTAACTAAACGCAATGCTTCACAGCCCGTAAGAGACAGCCTACCTAAAATAACCTTGGACAGTCAATCAATCAATCAATCAACCAATCAGAATTGTCGCACACTAATAATTAGGTCGATTCCTTAAAAACGTGTATATAAGGCGAATGAGTGTTTGAGAGCAGACAAAATCAAGCTATCTCTAACCTAAACCCTGACCTAAACTCTATTACTCAACCTAACTACAAAAACACCCACCAAGAATGGAATTTCCGACAAGCTCATGAATAGAGCGAATAGAATAGATACAGAAAGATGGACTATCTGATTGATTTTTACAAGGTCATTTGGCAGATTGTTTTTTTTATTATAGCCTGATTCCACACCGCATTTTCGGCACAAATATGAAAATTTTCAGCATATGATATCGGTTGTGCAAACTTTGCAGGCCACCCATTGATATTAGGTGTGAGTCGACAGTGGGTCGAACCCTGGTCGGCGAGAGTACTAACAGCTGTGCCACCGACGCACAGCTGGAATGTTCCTGTTAAACAAACATTTGAAGATACACATATCTTACAGAAATACAACATTTCACAGTGGGGTGCTTTAAAAACTGCCATCCTTCTTTCTAAAATGTTTACCCCTTTTAACAATCTTTAATTTCATTGGATTTCGACTAATCATGTTTATTAAGGCGAAAATGTACATTAGCCCAGGATTTAAATTCTCCCTTGCCAATCTAATTTGAACAACTGCATGGTGTCATCATCAAACCACGACAAACGGGTCGCTTTTAGCCAGTGATACAGGGTAAAATCTGTTTCAGGTAACTTAATTCAAACCAAATGAAATAATTGGTCACTACTTCTCCCAGGGACTCCATGAAACACCATCCCTAGCCGGTCACTAGTGAGCATCAGATTAATTTCCAAGAGTTTGGTTTGCACGTTATTGATTTGTTTTGCAAACTTGCCCCCGGATTGATATCAATTAGGGAACAATTTAAAACCAGCCGTTTTGTCAGCCTAGTTTGGGAGTCATCGGCAGTACGCACCCACCATCGGGGTTCAAACCCATGTCTTTCCAGTTACGAAGTGAGCTCGTAGAACGTTCATTCACCATGACCTGACTCCTCGATCACCAGCCCAAGAATTTCAATTTACGAATTCGTAAAACTTCGTGATTTTAGTCTGACTGGCACTAGCCAATATCGTCAGTGGCTCGTATTTGTCCTCACCCCCTCTAGGATACACCCCACTGGTCTAGATTTCTCACTAGAAGTCCAGGAAACCATCACTGCGACATGCAGGTACATCCAGAGGATGGGTCTCAAATGGGACGAAATGCACATCCTAGATTCCACTGCTAGTCACCATCTACAAAAGAACCTTGATTCGTTTAAAATGTGATCAAGATTTGATCGAATAATTCCAAAATAATCGGGCACCGAGTGGGAAGTAGAAATTTGTATAAGAATTATATTTGTAAAGTCTTAGTGAAATTGAAATGAGTAATTCCAACGTTTCCTGAGTTCGGCAATCTGGTTCGAAGTTCTTCAGAGGAATTAATCGAAATTAACATAACAGAGGTTTATTTGTATAAGGATAACTCTTGTTTTAAAAACTTTGTCCAATCATATGAGTGATGGAATAGGTATCGATATGTATAATGAGCAAAATTGTATGAACTGTGATCATAATTTAACCTCAAACTTCCAAAATTAGTCTACTTTGGTTAAACAATTTAAACAAAGTGTACTTTCTCACCAGATTACGTTAAAATCAAGGTTCATGATCGTAGATCACTGAATATGAAAATATTTGTGTATATGCAGTACACAATAGGGAATTTTGACCAAGTATGATTAATTATTGATACATATCCACTTTTTATTTATTAATCAGGATTTACCACGCTTCAAGAGATGTCCTTTCATATACAAACCTCTGCTATGTTAATTTCGTTTAATTTCCCTGAAGAAGTTCAGACCAGATTGCTGAACGCAGAAAACGTTGGAATTACTTATTTCAATTTTGCTGAGATTTTACAAAATATAATCTTCTCAGAAATGAACCTTGATTGTTGAAGATCATCGGCATTTTCAAATATTAGGATTTCAGTGAATTTCGAAAATTCAGATTTCATTTCATTACGAACTAAAGCATCGAACAGAGAATTATCGAAAAACTAATAAGAGTATTAATCAACTGCTTTGTTCAAGTTTTGGAATTTCCAGCAGTGACCTGAACAGGGAACATTTTTTCGACTGCTATTCATTAGCTTCATCAATATCAGTTTAAAATAAACACACTTTTAAAGAAAGAAAAAAAAGTATAAACTGACCTTATCTATTGGATCAATTATCGCTCTTCCCATTACTAACGCTTTAACTATGGATAAATTCCCAGAAGATGAAGCAAGATGTAGTGGAGTACGATCGAAACTATCGCGGACATTAATGTCACACTTTTGATCTTGAATAATTTTATTGACTAAATCAAGACGATTTTGTTTCACTGAAGCAAAGAGTATTTGCTCTATTCTTCTCACTATGCCGGTGGAGTAGAAATATAAACAGGTGAATATATATAGAGTGGAAAATACTGAGTACAAATTAAAAAAAAATCTTCAAAATTAAGAAAATCACTCGCTCAAAGTGTTCAACAACGAGCACTCAGTCAATATTGTACCGATGGCTATGAAGTCTAGTGGAGAACGCATCACCGTTGTTGATACAGGCACCTCTGATTGCTACCTATGTTAAGTAAGTAAGTAAGTAGGATGAAAATATAGGGAATATTTGGACTCCTAGTGGAGCACAGGACTTCGACAGTACGTCCCCATTTTATTTTCTCATTCTGCAGTCCTCTCTACTTGTCTTCACAATTGTCCATAATCTCTCACCTCCTTCTCACGGAATTTCCTTCCCTCACAACCCTCAAACTAAAGTCTAACTCATCATTTACTACTCGGGTTCCACTGAACAGTCTGTTTAATTTTTCAGTTTAACATTTATCTGATGTCATGCGAGGAAGAGACTAGCTCTTTTCATAACCTTCACGAGTATACATTTCAACAATTATGTTTGGGCGAAAAACACAGAAGGACACTGAAAACGTATCGAAAATCCTACACTTGAAGGGAACAAATGCATACAATATTGCCACTGCCGCGCATCTCGTTGTTAGAGGTCATAAGGAGGACAGTTATTAACAGTGGAACCCAGAAAACACACTTTCTCCTATTTGGGGTGTCATCATCAGAATGTAACTGCTTGCCCAGCCCAGACAAAGTGTTCCCTCCCACTGAGATGCACACCCTGCACCCATAGTTTCAAATGTCAAAGCATTATTCACAATGACCGATCGAGCTGCGACAGTCACTTCTTACGTAATTGGCATCAGTTATTATTATTCGTGTGTAGGTCACCAGACATAGGGCATTTCTGTTTTCAGCATAATCAATAACCAACAGGAAGTTGTTTGATTGATGGTGGCTAGCTGGTGAATTCAAGACACACTTTCTGTTCTGTTGGATGGATTCCAGATGAGTACACCTACATACTGAGTGAGATTTGGACCAAGCAGACAGTTGGTTCAAACAGTGAAACGTCATCTGCTAAGCCATTGAACAGAAAGAGACCGCTTTACTATCCAAGTGGTATCAGTTGGGTGTTATGTGATCATCAAGAATTCTCTAAAATGACTGGCTTTATTGGACTAAAATGTCTGTATTTAGTTGACATAACATATCTCTTTCCTTTGTTTACAATATAAATGATGACTGACGGAGGTCTTTCAGGCTTCAAGATACTCAGTTGCTGTTCATTAGACATTTTTATTTTGGTATTAGATGGTTGGGGGCAGTCAACCACAGGAAGCCTTGCTTGACCTGTCTGTCTGGATTCAACATAGCACTTGGCACCGAAGTGCACCAGTTCGAGTTGCCACGTTCCAAATAGCACACAGAGGTAGACAAGAAGATGAGTGAAGAGAATCAATAGAGTTTGACAAATATAAGAGTGAAACAGAATGGGTAATGGTAGAAAGGAATATGAAAGATTACAGAGACTGAATACATCTGCGCTGGCCATTGACAACGATTTTGAGCCATGTCACCTATTGTCTCCAGCCATTGATTCCTAGAGTCCCGAGGGCCCCAACCCAGGAGTCTGCATCTCCCTACCTGACCGAATCAGTTTAACTGTCAAGGATTTCATGGATTGATGCCATGTTTTTGTTTGGCCACCACTGGCTCTTTTCCAACCTGCACCTATATCAGCTAGCTAGGAATGTCCGTCGGGGGAGGCGATGGTTAGGCATGCGCAGCACGTGACCTAGCCATCTCAATCTATGTAACTTTATAGTCTCGTCGATTGATTTTCCCTCTTTGCCCAACACTCTACGCCTAACGTCAACATTACTTACCTTATTAAACCACCTGAGGTGAGAAAGAGATCGCATACATCTATGACTGAAAGCAGTCAACCTTTTCATGTCTTCAACTCGTATTTGCCATGTTTCAGAGCCATAGAGAAGGACGGAGCGAACTGCAGCTGAGCAGTACACACGTCCCTTGGTTGATAACCGGATGTCACGCCTACGCCAGAGGTGGTGTAAGTCAGCGAAAGCAGCTCGAGCTTTTCGGATCCTTGCTGAGATTTCATCGCCAATCAGTCTGTTGGTGCTAATACAACTTCTCAAATAGGTGAAGTGTTCAACATGTTCCATCACTTCACTCACTATCACTAAGCTAGGAGTTGACGTGGTCCAGTCCTGTAGCAGCATCTTACATTTGACAGGAGCAGGCGAATCGCATGCCAAACATACGAAGATTGCTGCCCGAGGTGTTCAGAAGACTCTGCATTTTGTCAGCGTCCTCCCCTAACAGGACTATGCCATCTGCATATTCTAAGTCCATAAGACTATTCCCTGGTAACAAGTCGATTCCTAAGTCATTGCTTGACCTAGGTTTCATGCAAGTTGGCACTCATTATAAGAGCTTATCTGCAACCTCGAAGGAACTCATGTCCCTTCTGAGCTTCGAACCCGTGTCATCCAGTACTGCAGTCATAGACGTTACCACTGAGCTGTTCAGGCTAGCTCACATTGCACTACTTACTGACTAATGTGCAATAAAAAAATAACCAATGTAGTCCTATAGGAGGTCAATCACGAGCCTGAATAGCTCAGTGGTAACGTCTTTGACTGCAGGCTGCATTGTTTGATGCGGGTTCGAATCTCAGAAGGCACGTGGGTTTCTTCAAGGCTGCAGATACACCTTGCTGACTGGTGAGTGCCAGCTAGCACGAAACCTAGGTACTAGCAAGTCTTCCTGTGGCCGATTGCCTTCAACCATTTAATACCAACAATTCATAGTGGACTGTAATGGCGAGCCACTTAGCATGGTGGCCGCATTGCAAACATGATTGCTAGAATTCAGTCTGCACAGAAGATAGGACTAGACAAATTACACCAGTAACTGACCAGTGTCTAATCAAAAAATAGACATTTCTATGTTCCACGGATTACTGTGAAACATAGAATTTTCACTGCTTTCAATGCGACATTAGGTGGATTGTATCACAGTCTGGTTAGTTTATTTTTACCTGCATTTGGGATATCCATGTGAACAGATTACGTCGGCCAGACTGTTGAACAAATCAGATCATTATTATGCGCTTTATTTAAATATTTTCAAATGACAATAAAATCTACATTCACCTAAGTCAAATATTGAAATAATAGAGAAGATTTGTAGCTCAGATGGATGATTTGCAATTATTATTGTTCTCTGAGCTGATCGGTTTCGTTGCGCAGCTTTCGTTGCCCTCCTGGAAAACATCTTCAGCTCAATATTTAGCATAAAGTAAACTGATTTAAATTTGCCATGAATCATATAATTGCGTCTCCCGGTAACCATCTTCACATATCTATTGATCATTTTCTATGGACTTCGATTTTAAACCTTCTCCGCACATTAGATATTTTAATCTAACGCTTTAGTGGATGCGAGGTTCGAGTCCAGGTAGAAACATCAGAACTCACTTAGATACAGGTACACTCAAATGAAACTTACTGCCTAGATTACACAACTTTCAGTGTTAAACGTATAATAAATGCCAGAAATAGATAAAAAAAAATGCGACTGTCTCGTTACATACTGTTTACAGTGTCAGACATACTGCACATTGTGATCTGAGTGATTTGAAGATACAAAGTAAAAACCCGAAAAATGAGGAAAAATTTCTCCTCAAAATCTGTTCGTGCTTTTCATCAAATTACCAGCTGAATATTTGTTCGACTGTATGACCCAAAGAGAACAGCTTAGCTAATTTTTGCATACCTTTTAATGACCTGACATACTAAATTTATTGGTATGCAGCATCTGCGTTTGGTGTTTGACAGTTAAAAGTGATCAGTAAGAAAGATTTGGATCGAGGTTTCGTACTTTTAGTGAGCATGAGAAGATGATATCTACCACGTTTACAGGATTGAGTTTCGAACTAATGTCAGCCAGTAGTACAAATGTGAGCTGAATTCCATTGTGGGTACAATTTAGTTTGATAAAGTCTCACAGTGTTAAACAGTAATATTTACTGATGACCACGTTCCAAGCACAATTTATTACTGCTCATAACCATATCTAGACATTACTCACATAACTTTCTAAATTCGTTAATGTAATTCCACTACTTTTCATCGCTTGATTTGATTGGTAGTGGTATTTTCCATATTCCTGGTATGAGTGATGAGTCATTGTATCCTATCGCACGTGTTGGGTGTAGACTCGATGAATAAGGATCCAGAAATCAATCTCTGTCTTTCCCCAACTACCTAGATTACTTCTTGGAATTTTAACCCTTTCCCATTCTATTGTGTGGTTGTGTGTCAGTGCATGCAGTGTAATCGCTGAGCTTTTTTCTAAATTACTTATCTTTGTTGGATCAATCATTTTAACCTTAACTAAATTCTTATGTTTTGGTGATCTCACCACTCCTGATCTACTAGTTTGACCTATGTAAGTGACCTCACTTGCATTCATTGCAATTTATTTTGTAAATTATATTATTTCTCTGATTATGTCCTTTAGTCTGCAGAGCTTGTCACTCAGTGAGTTTGTAGGTATATGTGATACACTATTACCTGCTTTATTAGGAATCTTACGTAGGGTATCAGATTCTAAGAAGTTATCTAGGTAGGTGGAGAGAAAGAGACGTTGATTTCTGGATCCTTCTTCATCGAGTCTACACCCAACACGTGCAATAGGATGCAATGACTCATCACTCATACCAGAAATTTGGAAAATACTAATACGAATCAAATCAAGGGATGAAAATTAGTGGAATTATATAAACGAAGTTGGAAAGTTCTGTGAGTAATGTGTTGATATGAATATGAGCAATAAAATATATTTTACCCACAATGGAATTATACTTTACCATAATGCACAAGTTCTATTCTTATATCAATATTAGCTAAAGTGTGAAAGATTCTTGATACATATTCTCGAGTGTTGTGGATCATTGGCGTCAGTGTATCAGTGTTTAACTAATGTGTCACAGGTCCGGACGCTGCTCAACATACTTCACCTTGAGTGAATTTGGGAACAGCGTGAGTCTATGTGTGTATAATAAGTGTCATATATAGTATAGCGCATGAAAAAATGTCGTTTGAGATCAAGTGAGTCTAAAAAACTATAATGAACTCAAAACACTTGAACTCAAAATACTTGACTTACATTCAGGAGATAAACTGATAGTAACCATACTGCAATCAGCATTTTGTGACTGGGTTAACTAAACAGAAAAATAAACAAACAAACAAACAAAAACACAAAACAAAAATCAATATTAGAATAATTAAAAGAAGTCTATTCATTCAGATTTGAGATTCATAGTTGACATATCTGACCGCATTGGGTTGTGAGCAGATGCGTCAGTCTTTCATATCATGCCTTTAAGCGCAAGAAGTAAGTGTTGTGGTCTGATGGATAATACTTTGGCGCTGGAAGACTTTGTTACTCTGTTCGAATACAGGTACATCAAGTTGGGGAGTTCCATAAAAGACGAAATAAGCATCCTGGATTCCACTGCTAGTTACCACTTACCAGAAAACACAAATGTTTAGAAACTGTTGAAGTGTCCGTCCTAGGAGCCCACATGTTAGCAGAATTCAAATATCTCCTCGGTTCACTCTGTAGTGTACATTGAACCTTTGAACTTTTGTTTGAACCCACTCACCCTCATTTAGGCACTTCTTCATCTTTTTAGTTGTAGCTCTCCTATACATATTTGGTTCGCTTTCTCGTTGTGCATTCATTCAGCGCACTCTCCGAGCCTACCACCAGTCAAGGCAGCAGATATAGTTGTGTAACCTCTTTATTAATCAAATTTCATATCTCATTTGTTTAAAATATAACTCTGTCCCAAACAAATTTATCATCTCAAGTCATTTTACTTTGATTTCGTTCGTCAGTACTTACACGTTAGGTAGAGTGCTGCTAAGGTCATAAAACGGTGAAGTTTTTTTTTATAAGTGGGGTTATTTCTGAGGTCTGCATCAAGTCAAGTCCAACTCTTACAAATGGTGAGCCCGTGTTTTCATCGTTTGCCTCCATAGTAGCCTAAAGTGTTAATAGTTCTTTTTCATATTGACTTTTTTGTTTATTTTTCACGTAGAGTTATAAAGTTTTACTTGCCTTGTGTTTACTTATATTTATTATTACTACTCTGTTAATATATCGTCTTGTCCGCATGATGGCCGACAACAGTTCTCCTTCAACCTTGCAACTCCCAACCATCTGAACACATCGTCCTGCTGCATGGTTCGGTCACGTAGAAGCACTATCCGCCCTCAGATATATACACTCACAAGAAACTAAGGTAAACCTGGTAATTGTGAGTCTTCCCGAGAATATCATGAAAGAAGTGTCTGATGTTCTCCATGATCCCTCTCCAGACCTGCATGAGCGTCTCAAGCAGGTACTGACTAAGCGCGTTGCACTCACTGACCAACAGAAAGTGCAAGAACTTTTTCAAGATGTTCAGCTGGGCGACCGAAAGCCCACTCGAATGTTACGACAGATGAAAGAGTTAGTCGCTTACTTCAAAATAAATGATGCCTTCCTAAAGCAGGTTTGGTTACGAAGATTGCCTCAGAGGATTCAGGGCATTTTAGCGCCGATCCACAATTCCCCCTTACCGGAACTAGCCGAGGCGGCTGATAGAGCAGTGGGGGCTACTAGATCAAACATGAGCGTTTCGGCTGCGGTAACCAATAGTCCCGCTCAGACCAAAGGTTCTTTTGCCAGAACGTCATCAAGCTTCGATACGGTGGCCCGTATAACCAAGCTTTACGTAGTAGTATTAGGTAGGATATGAAAGCCAGAGGTCGCTGGGGTAGTCGCACCAACTGGACTCGTAATAGATCCTTTTCCCGTGCTAACAGTAGGCGTAGTAAGTCTCGAAATTCCCAGTCTGAAGTGTGCTAGTATCATCGGCTTTATGGTGCAAAGGCCCAAAAGTACAATCTCCCGTGCACCTTAGACGTCCAACAGTCGGGAAACTAGCAGGCCAGCACGTATTGGAGACTAAGGTCGCTAGCGAACCACTCTTATATCGCCTCTTCTACGTTACTGACCGCAACACGGGAAATAACACAAATTGACTTGAATAGAATAATAACTTGTTCCCGCCTTAAAAGATGTATCTCTTGTGACGCAGTCAGTCTAGTGGAAAACGTTTTAGCATTTGGAACGAAAAATTCTGGACTCATGCCTGAGTGAAAAAACCAGCACCTATGCTGGTGGAAATACATCCAGATTATGACTCTCAAATAGGATGAAATGCATGTCCTGGATTCGTGAGTATCTTGTAACAATTCACATTATTATTATAATTAATAACACTGCTAGCAGTGGCTTTCTTTTTAATTTCCTCACTGGATATACTCTCTTAAAAGTTATATATATATAAATAAATACTTATGTTTTTTCAAGCTTGACCATGGACTGGTATCAGCTAGAGAACCACTGAAAACCCCTTGGAGTACTGGACAGGTGTTTCTTCCTGGTTTAGGAATCATCCGCAGTACGTACCCACCAACAGGGTCCCGATTCGGTTACAAGGCAAGCTCGTATACCGACCAATAATTTCGAACTTCTACCAATTCGTGATTTAGCTAGAACACCAACCAATGTCGTCGGCGGAACATCGATCTTCACACTTGATTGGTTGGACTTCAGTGGTCACGACTTCTTACTAGAACTCCAGGAAAATCTGTCCCGTAGCAAGTCACTAGAGAGCATCAGATTAGTTTTCAAGATTTCGAACCCTTTGCGGTGGGTGCGTACTGCTGATGATTCTCAAACTCGGCTGACGAAACAGCTGGCTGTCCAGTACTCCCTGTGGCTGGTTTTCAATGGTTCTCTAACTGATATCAATCCGTGGTCAAACTCGTAAAAGCAAAACTAATCCATATTGAACCAATTCTTGAAAATATATATGTTACTGTAATGTCTGGTAATAAAGTAGCTGCAAAAAGACTCTTCTTTGAACATCGAAAATGTGATGAGAATTACTAGTTCGAACACTGATGCAACCAATATCTCCATTTCACCCACCATCCATTCCAATAGATTTAGTTCAGATCATTGGTAATTACGATTCATCTAAATATAATCAAAATTCTAATCCACTATACTTTTATTATTTGAAAACCACTCAGTATATACTCTCTCTTTACTCCAATGTGTATTGAATTTGGTGAGGGTAAGAGTGATAACTGTTACCTAAAACTATGACATTGATCATCACCTACGGTAATTTATTATTGCCATCTATCTGTCATCCTCCTCCTACATACTAATAAACCTGCATATATCATGTACCTGACAGTCTCTCCTATGTCTTATTATTCTACTTTGACAGATTGTGTGAACCACACCAGACTTGTGTTAAGCATATTCATCAATAATATATACAGTTCAATATGCGTTTATATATTTGCGATAGTAAACTAATTTTTCATATATATATATATATATATATATATATATATATATATATATATATATATATATATATGAGATGAGAATGCTCAAGCTGTACAATCGCGTATATATGGTAAATCTTTTTAGCAACTAAAGGAATTTTTAAAAGATTTGTCATTAGAACTGTACGTTTTAAATAAAAAGCTTTTGATGTGGTTGTGTTCTCTGAGCTGGTTGGTTAATTTGCGAAGCTGTCATCGCTCTACTAGGTGACATCTTCAGCGAATACTTCAATTCGATGAAGTGAGCTTTTAGATTTCTCCATGAGTTTATTAATCATCTCTCCTGGTCGGTGACCTTGGATGTGATTGGTTATTTTTGAGTGTTTTCACACCTTCTAGGGTACTTGTATTGGAATTGGTTGTGTTCTTTGACTTGAACTATGACCCTTCGTGTGTGAGGTTTCTTTCTCATTGGTTGATAAATTTTGTCCATCTCGATGTGTCTATTGATTGATGATTCACTGGAATACCAAGTTTCTAAAAATTCTCCAGCATTCTTGGTGTTTCCTCTGTCTAGTATTCGTCCATTATCCCAGTCGAATTGATGTCCATGGTTGTCTGTATGAAGTAATATGAGGGAGTGGATGTCATGTCTTTTGACAGTTGGCTTATGCTCATGTATACGAAGAATAAGAGGACATCGTCCACTTTCGCCAATGTAGTGTTTTTTGCAGTTATTACAATTTATTTTGTAGATGATGTTGGTTTTGTCTTCTTTCGCTGTTGAGTCTTTCGGTTGACATAGAATTGAGTGAAGTGACTTTGTTGGTTTGTGTACGACATCATTCCTAAAGGTTTGAAGAGTCTTGTAGTGATTTCTGAGACATCCTTTATGTACGGTAAGGCGATTTTCCTTTGTGCTTTCCTTGGGGGCTTTTGGTTTGATAGGGTGGCTTGGAAGTATTTGTCTTTTGTTGAAATTCCGTGGATATCTATTCTTTTGGAGGACGTACATGGGGTATTTTTCATCAATTTTCCTTAAGGTGGGAGTGTTGCAATGAGTCCTTGCCCTCTTGAATAGTGTTTGTATGTAATTCCTTTTGTGTGTTATTGGATTGTTGCTGTTTTAATTCAGGATTTGGTCTGTGTGAGTTGATTTTCTATAAACTTGAGTTTCTAATTCTCCTGTGTTTGTTCGCTTGACTAAGACGTCCAAAAATGAGATTTGGTTCTCGGATTCCTCTTCTCTTGTGAATTTGATTTCGTTGAAGACGTTGTTTATTAAGTTGTGAGTTTTATCTAACTCGTTTCTTTTGATTATTACAAATGTGTCATCGACGTAGCGTATCCAAGTCTTGGGTTTGATCTTTGGTAGAATTATGTTTTCGAGTCTTTGCATCACTGCTTCTGCAATCAAACCTGATATTGGTGATCCCATGGGTGTTCCTTTCACTTGTTTATATATTTGGCCGCTGAAATGGAAGTATGTTTTTAGGCATAGATATATGCATTCCATAAAAATTGCAAGACACATGCTGGATGGAATGCGTATATCTATGCCTAAAAACATTCTTCCAATTCAACGGCCAAATGTATGAACGAGTCAGAGGAACACCCATAGGATCGCCAATATCATGTTTAATTGGTTGGTAGACGTAATATAACTGGAGCGGTTGAGAAGAATTCAACCAAGATTTGAAAGAGAGTTAAGTTAAGAATAGTGGTAATGAGGGGTAGCGATTTCATATGGGGTGGGGGAAGAAGATAATACAATTAAGGAACAAATAAAAAAATTACTTATTTG